CGCTCTTCGAGCAGTGGCTTTCGCTTCCCGAAAGCAATCGATTGGTACGCTTCTTCACTGCACGTTCCTCAATTTTCGAATTAATTTATTGCGACGTTGTTCATTCAAAATATTCTCATGGCATGTCTATACCTACCAATCAATTGTCAAGTTTTTGTGAGAATGATGGATAGGTAATTATTAATTATTGCCCATGTTAATGAAAGATAGCCGTTGGTTTGGGATTCCATATAACTACCTCATGAGAATTTTGACTTTTACCTAGATAGATAGACTTAACTCTCCGTAGGCGTATATTAATCAATTTCAACTGTTATGTATGAATCTCTTTCTTCTGAGAGATCACCATAGCGTATTCTTGGGGTGATTATTAAAATCTTGCTACTACTCTCCGAAGCTATATAAACGAAGTATCGGTGAAACTTGAAGTGTGGGAATGAAATATTGATTATTAACGAAACTCCTTTTTCTTTTATTTATTAGTTTTAGTTTCCTTTAAACACTGTAACGCGTGCATTTGTGATTTTACTTTCATGCCGCACTTGTTAATGTCTGTAGGTAACATCATTGATAAATGAAGCAAAGTCAGGTGCTCCCTTGAATGTCCCAGGGAATTGCTCTAGTCCAAATGCTGCAAGCAATTCTTTGCCCTCCATGTTTCCTGCTGGCACTGCCCCGCCTCTTTCACCGAGAAGTACATCTGGCTCCCCTCGCATAGTGAAACAGAGAGTTGGCCCTTCTAATTTGGGCTCTCCTTTGAAGGTTGTCAGTGAGCCAGTTAAAGAATTGATACCTCAGGTCAGGCAAATCTGATGTATTATCTTAATATTTTATATGATAGTGAAAGAAGATTAATTTGACCTGAAGGGAGTGAAAGTAGGGTGGATATGATAAGCTCCAAAATTATAAAAGCAAAATATGTCAGAGAAGACAAAATGATGAAAGAAAAATATGGCAAAGCTACACAAACGTGTTGCTTATATCAAATTGAAACTCAGTTGAAACAATGATGGTCATTACACAAGAGAAGCTGTAGAAAGAATCTTCTCCCTTAGCAAGTTGAGGTGCAAAGAGACTCACATAAATTTCCTGCATTAGGCTCTAAGCCTTTGTTTGTATGCACCCAAGAACTGCATGGGTTGCACATTTCCAGAAAAACCTCTTTTTTTTTTTTCTTTTTTTTTTTTACATCTATGCTGTTACCAAGTAGGACGCATCCAACACTCATCAAATTCCCTATGAACATGCAACAAATCATTTGTAGTGATCCAATTATGTGCAGCTGTTTAGTTTTCTTAAAAATTTTATTTGGTGATATTTTTATTTCTTTTCCTCTGGTCTGCTAAGTGTTCATGCATGTGTACTTTATTTATTTTTTCTTGTTTGGTTCTCACCCTTCCCATTGCTCATAACATACACGTGTGCTTGCAGTTCTACTTTCAATTTGGACGTCCTCCTCCAAATGATCTCAAAGAAAAATGCGTAATTAGAATTGACCATTTATTCCATGATCACCTGGATGGGCTGCAGATACACGGTAAGATATTGGGCATATAAGGACGTTATAGTCTGAAGGGCTGGTTGGCAATTGGGGGAAAGAGGATTTTCGATAAGTGCCACATTCTATAGTTTTTAAGCAATCACACCCTCCCCTCATTTTGAGTAAAAAAGAAAATAGTTTAAATGTTTTCTGATATCAAAAAGTGATTATCTATCTAAAATTCACTTTGTAATGAAATGAAGAGTTGTAGTAATAACTTATTTCTGTTTTACTTTTTTCTTTGGTTGTCAGAATTCAAGTCAGTTACTAAGGAAGTATGCAAGCTGCCATCTTTTTTTTCCACATCTCTTTTCAGAAAGATCGATAATGGAACTGGAGTTGTGACAAGGTGTGTACTTTATTGTTGTTAATTTTTAAAACAATGCTTTATATGTTCTGTTTCATGAGTAACGGTTCTTAGATTTATTAGTTTGGAATCTTTGGATACCTAAAACGATTTTGTTTAGATGCTGAAAATTGAGTAGGGCTGGAGCATAATAGTTATTGTGAGTACTTATTCAGTAAGGAACTAGCTTTTAAGAATACAAACTCCTGTATTCCTGATTATTGTTTTATTTATTTTTGAAAATCAATTTCTTTATTTCATCAGCTAATCAAACTAGGAGTCAACTTACATTGTCCACTTGCTTCCCATGTGTTTTTTTTCCCTTCAAATTTGTCTTTGTATAATTAGATTTTTCTTTTAAGGGTTTAGCCAGTATGTTACTATATTGTTTATGTTAGGTTACTAAGTGAACTCTTCATGATACGAAGCCTTAAGCCTATAAGTTTCTTAAAGTCTTGCATATACCCTTATTCACAGATTATCCTACTGCTATAATTTCTCAATGTTTAATTCCCTTTCCCAAATAACATGTATGTTATAGATGGAAGAATTCTTTATTTCCCTTTAGATAGAGTAATTCTTTGACATATTGGAGCCATCTTGACTGAGTTGTCCTGACTTCAATCTTAGATGCTTATAATGAATATAAGCTTGAGAGAGGAGGGTTGCATTAGGCTTTACATGCTATATTAGTGACCTACTTTTATCCCTTTGTTTTATTCTATTTATCTATATATGCCTCATGCAAATGCCGCAAACAATTTATCTATGCAAAGTCAACAATGATGTTTAGAGTAAATAATAGTGACTAGATAAGTTGTTAGATCAACCTAAAACAAGCAAGAGTATGCTTTCATAGTCAAATTAGTAGTCATTTGATAAATGACAGACTTAAAAAATGACAGAAATCACTTGAAATGGTGTGTTTGAATTAGTTTATTTTTTTGGGGAAAAACATTTTTCTGGCAGCTGCTTTTGAGAGCTTTTGATAAATAAATAAAAAAAACTGATTAATGCCCCAAAAAAAGCTGAAATGCACCTGGACATGTTGAAATTTTAAGAATTATAGTTGTTCCCTGTAATTAGTGTTTCCTAATGGCTAATTCTTATGCTTAATTCACTGGTTGAATATTCCTATAGGAAAGCATTTATTGATTATTGGGTCAATGGCAACATGTTGACAAAAGATATAGCAACCCAAATATTCACAATTTTGAAGCAGCCACAGCTCAAGTACCTTACTCAGGTATTTTACTTCTTTTATATTTACTTCTTTTCATTTCATTTAATTTTCTTCTACTACTTGGAAAATTTCAGTCATGGCCTCATGATGTCTATCAAAATATGTCATTTATTCAATTCCATTTGATACTAACATGATTTGATTTTTTTAGGGGCCACTTTGTTGATTTTATTGGCTTTGATATTATATTTGTATCTTGTTGTTAACTATATTAAACATCATGTCAGGATGATTTTAAACCTGTGCTACGTGAGCTTTTGGCTACTCATCCAGGGCTGGAGTTCCTGCAGAGCACACCTGAATTTCAAGAGAGATATGGTTTGTCTTTCATCTTGGTTATAAACTTGCATTTAGGGGTTCATTTATGTTTAACAGCAGATATTAACAAATAAATTTGAAATTCCCACCATACTTTGTTTATAACAGAGAGATTGTACAGCTTTGATGCATTCTTACTTCTTACTATTTCCAAATTCTTCTTTTATAGACTTTCCTTCTTTGTAGAATTTCTTACTCCCCTTCTAGTTGAACTTCCCCTCTCTGTCCAATTATTTTCTTCCATAAAAGAGCTGTAGTGTCCTTAAACCTATTTTCTCATATTTTGACCGTAAAATATGTTAAGAGACATCACTGTTGAGATTCTGATTGAAAAATTAGACATTCCATGACCTGGAAAATGCTTTATTGTGCTAGGTCTCTGACATATCCTTTGTTTATATTTGACCCCTGAATTGGGTTGTATTGAAATGACTTTGGAGCTGTTTTTTATGGTTTGATTTTGTATTGAAATTGACCATCTTCAAGCTTCAGTTTTTTTTTTATTTTGCTCATCTCTGTTAACTTTTTCCTTTGACGTGCATCTCTTATTGGTGCCATTGAATCTCCCTTGCCTCCAATCAGTTCATTTGTAACCTATCCTATTACTATTTAGCTGTTGAGTTCTCTAAAATGCAAAGCTCTTCTAGTTCAGCCTTTTTTTATGCCACTGTTGAGGCTGATTCAACATGTTTGATTTTGGGTGTCCAAGGAGACCCCTTCATCTTGTTCGGAGTCAGCAATTGACCATATCTTCTCGGTGCCATTATCTGACTACCTCATATGTGCTTTATGCACATTTTTTTTTTCCTGCCATTCTTCTTAGTACATGGGTCCCAGATGTGTTGCTTATTTTCATCTCTTTTGTTCTATCCCTAATCTCTTGGGGTTTGGTTATCTGTTGCTGCTTAGCCAGCTTTAACTTGAGGGGAAATGTTAAAATATCTGACAATATCAATATTGTATTTTAGAATATTTTGAAATATCTCAGGCATTATCTCTTCGGATTAGATTCACTATTTTCTTAGTTTCTACATTTCCTAATATATATATATATATCATATTTTTGTTACCTTGTTTAGTTAGTGACTGTTAGTAAAAGTAAGGGTTAGTACTTTAAGTTTTATCATCTAATTGTAAAACATCACTTCAAATCTAGAAAATATAAATTTTATTGTATTCAGTTTTTGTTTTCTCCTTGTATTCCTTCTACACCTAAAACCCCACAATTCCAACAAATTTTAATGTTTGGTAAAAAACTAAAAATAAAGTTATCATCCCTTATTTGTGCTTTCTCAAAATATTTTAGGTTTGATATTTTTGAAAAATCATAAAGAGGGTGGTGGTGCTCTACGCAAGTGCAATTTTTATAATGGATGCTTGATGCAATTTTGGAGATTGGTTGGTGATTTTATGCATGTGTTTTTAAAGTTTCTGGCACAACGCATGTTCTTTCATTCCAGTCCTCTGTAGGGCTCTTTCATGAGATTCAATTCAACTTTTACCTTACAAAACTAATTATTGCAACTTTTCAAAGAGGTGGGTATTGGCCGCAGCTGGCAATTTTTTATGGTTTTTCATGGTCAGTGTATTTATATTTTTTATATGGGATTTTTGCTGCTAATTGCAATTATAATTTTATTTATAGAGTCACACTTCATATATTTGATGTTGGGAGAATCAGTTAAGAGACTTATTCCATCGAAGTTGGGCATAGGCTGGTCATGGTTACTGGTGTAATGTTCTTGTTTTGTCTTTTTTCTGTGGTGCAATGTTCATAACTACTTGTTTTTCCAATGGCCCAGCTGAAACTGTCATATACAGAATATATTACTACATTAATAGATCAGGAAATGGTCGTCTTACCCTGAGGGAGCTGAAGCGTGGAAACATAATTGATGCGATGCAGCATGCTGATGAAGAAGAGGACATAAATAAGGTTTTGAGGTACATATACTATTTGAAAATGTCATTTCCGTTAACTTCAGAAAATGACTTTGGTTTCTTTATTCAAATGAATTAAATATATTTGTATTAATATGCCTTAATATTTTTTTACCTTTCCTTAATATTATCTGCAGGTACTTTTCGTACGAGCATTTTTATGTCATATACTGCAAGTTTTGGGAGCTGGATTCAGATCATGATTTCTTGATAGATAAAGAGAATCTCATCAGATATGGTAACCACGCGCTTACCTATCGAATTGTTGATAGAATATTTTCTCAGGTTGGTCTGGATTACTATATTATGTGTTGTTTCTGACTTGAGATTTACTACTGTCTAGGGCCACAAACAACCCAAACCTTTACTCCTCCTCTCCTAATACACATTCACTGTCCTTTTACTTGTGTTTATGTGATTTATCAGATCATTTGTTGAAGATGCAGATTTTTATTTTCTTAAATATTATCTCAGGTTCCTAGAAGGTTTACCAGTAAGGTTGAGGGAAAAATGGGTTATGAAGATTTTGTTTACTTCATACTGTCAGAAGAGGATAAATCATCTGAGCCAAGTCTCGAGTATTGGTATTTTGTTTCCCATCCATAATCCATTTTATTTGTTTCTCCCCCTCCCACTTACTAAGATGTCACTAGTTTAGTTCCTGTGCAGTTGCAGACTGAGGATGATGCATTTGAAGCATGTATTTAGTGTAGTTTATGGGCTTTTTACTTAGAACTGTGTATGAGTGTGCACAAGTCCATGATTATGTCTCAGAAATTTGGGATGTTAGCTACAAAATTTGTTACTGAAACTTCAGTCAATCAAAATTGCAGAATAATGTAATAATGTAAAAAAATTGTTTTTGATTATTTTATTTGAAAAACAGTTTTTGAAACTAGAAAAAAGGCAACAATTTTGCATATTATTGCAGTTTTGTCATTAGTGAGAATGGTTTTCATTAGGCGTTTCCCTTGTTTTCAATGATTTCAAAATACAAAATCTAGAAAGCCTAAAATATTTAATGGTTTTAAATATTTGCATGATGAAAACAATCTCTCAAACCAGTTTTACTTTATTCTTTAAAACTGTTTTGGAAACAGTTCCAAACACATCCAAACTTCTGCCTTGGGAGAACAGAGCTTCTTCTGGCATATGATATTATTGTAGGCTGTGTTGTAGGGTAGTATGCTTAGCATTGCGTCAACAAAAGGCACAGATAAAAACAGGACAGGGAAATGTATTGATATAAAATTTGGGCTGCTTGGTATATGGAAAAAATGGATGAAATTTGACAGTTTGATGTTCTGTTTTTCTGTTTTGTTTTTCCTTAAAGCTTTCCCCCATTTGTTTTTTAACTCTTTATTTCCACCTTGCCTTCTATGTGCACTCTTAGGTGAACATTTGAAGTTTGACCTTTGTGGTTGACTCTTATTAGCTATTTGTGATGACTTGTCATGATTAGGTTCAAGTGCGTAGATTTGGATGGAAATGGTGTGTTGACAAGGAATGAACTGCAATTCTTTTATGAGGAGCAATTGCATCGAATGGAGTGCATGGCTCAAGAACCTGTGCTTTTTGAGGATATTCTGTGCCAGATTATTGACATGATTGGACCTGAGGTTTGTCTTTCAATCTTTCTTCTACTGATTGTTTGCCCATGTTTCATAATGTTGTGGAGAAGTCACATTAGCTGAAATATGATGCTAATCTAGTCAGTTGTTTTTAAATTTCTGTTATGTTTTGGATAAATGACATACCCCGGTTACATATTTTGGTTCCTCCTTTTTCTTGTCCACTCTTTCATCCTTTTGGTTAATATTGAGTCATTACTTATTTGTCGGAGATATTTTTCTTCATAATTTTAAATTGAAATTCTTTACTCTGCAGGATGAGAGTTATATAACTATCCGTGACTTGAAAGGTGGTAAACTCTCGGGAAGTGTTTTCAATATCCTGTTCAATCTGAATAAGTTCATGGCCTTTGAAACTCGTGATCCATTTTTGATTCGTCAGGTGCATGAATATTTGATAGAAGTTATTGTGCTGTTTGTGTCAGTATGATTGACTATTCTTGGCGAGTTTTGACTGCCTTGGTACATGTCTTGTGTGAACAGGAACGTGAGAATCCTACGTTGACAGAGTGGGATCGCTTTGCTCATAGAGAATATATTAGGCTTTCAATGGAAGAAGATGTAGAGGATGCCTCTAACGGTAGTGCAGAAGTTTGGGACGAATCACTTGAGGCTCCTTTCTGACTCCATTTATGTAAGTTGAAATATGATATTGCACATCCAATTTTACTTTGCTTTATAATAGAATTCAGAAATAGAGGCCTTTTCAAATTCAGGCCAGCACAAAGCTGGACCGGCTCTAGGCGGGTTGCAGGCATTCCGGGCCAGCAAATAAAAATTATTATTCTCTTTTAATTTAAATTGCTTTTACACATTCAGAGCATGTTCAATAGCATCCTTGCAGTAGTGACTTAGAAATTTCAATCCAGGGGGCAGAAGCGTTACTACAATGCTGTGTGTTAGGATTTAGATGTGGAGGCTTGTATGCTCTGTGCAGCTTGCCTCTTGATCAATTGATTGCCTTATTACCAATTAGGGATTTACCACTTGTATATATAAAAATATAAAATAAGGAAAACCAGCAAATATATCCGTTGAAAGGAACAATAGTCTATATATCTATTCATTGTATCGAGAACAAATGAGTCATTTGTGTTCTTAATTCCACCTGCCGTACGTATTTCCCAGTGCACTGATTGCTATTAATTGACACGACCTATGACTTTCTTCCTAGATGTAGGCCGGTGGCCTTGTCCAAATTGGCAATTGGGCCATTATGATTTTCAGATTTTGGGCTGGACCTGGGCCAGTTCAAATCTTGCTTGCCTAGCCAATCCATTTTTTTTTTTGTTATTTGGTCTTGATTTTCACAGCCCTTTTGGACATTAGAATACTATGCAGTGTGTAATTTTACTGTATCCCTTTAATTATGATACCATATTAGGTTCATCTCGATTTAAGCATTATCCATTAATACAGTGTATGAAAAGATATTAACGCCCCAGATCGGATGGACTGGCCATTATTCAGAGACACGTGACTCAGGCTCAGCTTTGAACGCTAACTCGACCCCAGAAAGGGGGGAATTCCAAGCTTAGCTATGGAATGTGTTTTCGATGGGGGCAAGCAGCAACAACGATAGACCTGCAAATATTGGGACCACTATCATGGAAGTTTTGTAGCTGGACCAATGTCCATGTAAAGTTGAGAACGTTTATAGGAGGTGATTAGCCAAGTTGAATTAAATTGACATCATTTTCAGACGCTTACCATAAGTAGCGAGATTTTCTGATGGGTTTTTTTAGCGATTTGATTTACTGATCGAGACACTTTTGCCTCGAATCTGTCCAAGAGTACATTCGTGATTTCTTTCTCATCTATGGCCAGGCTGTTATTTCTTTTACTGAATTCCTTTTTCTTTTTACTTAGGCTAACTGAAGAACATAAATAAAATGTAATGCTACACACATAAAAGGTCGCATCTTTTCTGCTTTATTTGTTTGTCTGATGCATGCAGAGTATTATAGAGCTGTATTATAGTTATTTGTCCACTTTATTTTATAGTTTTCTAGTATTTTTTTCATTTCACACCGGTGTATTAAAGTTTTGCTTTAAACTATCTTAACTCGGTCGAAAAGTAAGTAAAATTTAGTTAAAAATTACTGTTGTCAAGAATTGAACTTGAACACTAGTCGCATAATTCGATCATTGATTTAACATATGAATCACTTGTGTCCAATTTTTTGGTTTATAGTTTTCTAGTATGTATGTTCAAATTAATCTATTTTTGGATTAATGTATTTTTAGTCCTTAAAAATATTGTAATGGTTGATTTTAGGTTTTTTAAAGTAGTGTATTCTTGTTTTTTATTTATGAAAATGTGTTAAATGTGATTTTTGTCATTTTAAAAAAAAAATTGTTTCCTTTTGGAAATTGGGAACTAAAATGATAAATTAATAGGAGATGATTTTCCTTTTCCATAAGCAATTGAATATAGATTTTTCCTTTTCCATAAGTAATTGAATAAATTTCATCTTTTATTGTATGTTTAAATGGATCATATTTCCTTACAAGTAGTTTAAAATAGTAATTAATTAAACACTAACATAATTTTGTACTAATATTCAGTATGAATTGTATTAGAATTTGACAATTATTAAATTTGTAATAATTTTAAAATATATTTTAAGTATTTTTTTGATGACTTGATAATGCAATTTTTTTTTTAATGATAACATATTAAACTTAAATTGTTTATTTTCAATAATATTATTAGTAACAGACTAATCTGAATACACAAAATTTTAAAATTCTGCTGGATATGATAAAACGGAAAAGATCTGTCATACATATATGTATGCAGTGGTGTAAATTCGTTTTATCCATTAAAAAAGATAAGACTCATTATGATCTCATTGTATCAATATCAAATTTTAAACTAGTTTTAATAGTTCTCACCGTATAAAAAAATGACGATTTAAATAATGAATTTAATAATATTATCTGTAATAATGTCTTTTTTATAATTATTTTCATCCATAATCATGTCTAATAGTGTCATTAAATTTAATAATATTATATCTAAAATAATGTCAAACTAAATTAAGAAATCTTAGATAATTTACTAAAGATAAAGCTTTACATTCTATCCAAAAAAAAATATGAATATATGACATCAATTAATCGAAATAATTACATACTCGAAAAGGCAGTATGGGTGCTTCAGTTATTTTAAAAAGAAAAAAAAATAATAAAATAAGTAGTTAATTAGATATTTACAAGAAAAAAAAATAACGACTTTAAGATAGTTGGAAGAGATGATTTAAAAGTTAACAACTTATTAAAAAGATAAAATCATCTAAAAATTATATAAAGAAGATATTATCCTTATATATTATTAGTGGGATTTAGATACTTCATATCTCTAAATTTTATTTTATAAAAGTATTTTAAAAATTATCAATATTATAGATTACAAATATAACTGTGCATCAAATAATACCTCATTAAAATAGTTTTGAATCGCTGAATTTGTTGATTAAATTATCTTAAACTAATCATAAATGAGAAAAATTCATTTGTTGTGAGTAGGAGGGAAATCAAAATTGAAAGTAAACAGAAAGGGTCAAATTTGTAACATTGAAAGGGATAATGAGTGCGGTGTGGTCCAACGAAATAAGAAAAAGTCAATAAGTTAACCGCGAGCGAAAAACGAAGAAAGGGAATATTCCCGCTCTATTCCTCAGAAATCAGGTTCTATACAAACCCCATTCCCACGCTAAGCTCTCCATTTGAAAACAAAATGTGGTCAGAAGAAACACCTTCCCTCAACAACCAACAATACCAACTCCTCCAAGAACTCGGCCGTGGCCGTTTCGGCACCGTCTTCCGCTGCCTCCACCGCGCCTCCAACCGCCTCCACGCCGCCAAGCTCATCCACAAACGCCACCTCACCGACTCCACCGACCGCCGCTGCCTCCAAGTTGAACCCAAAGCCATGACCTTCCTCTCTCCGCACCCCAACATTCTCCAAATCATCGACACCTTCGAAGACGCCGACACCACCACCCTCGTCCTCGAGCTCTGCCAGCGCCGCACCCTCTTCGACCGCCTCTCCGACGACGGCGCCCTCCCGGAGCCCCACGCCGCCTCCCTCGCCAAGCAGCTCCTCGAGGCCCTGGCCCACTGCCACGCGTTGGGCCTGGCCCACAGGGACATAAAGCCCGACAACCTCCTTTTCGACGACGCCAACAACCTCAAACTCTCGGACTTCGGGTCCGCGGAGTGGTTCGGTGAGGGCGTGACCATGAGCGGTGTGGTGGGCACGCCCTATTACGTGGCACCCGAAGTGATCATGGGGAGAGAGTACGATGAGAAAGTGGATGTTTGGAGCAGTGGGGTTATTGTTTACACCATGTTGTCTGGGATTCCACCCTTTTATGGAGAGTCTGTGAGTGAGATTTTTGAGGCTGTTTTAAGGGCCAATCTTAGGTTTCCCACCACAATTTTTAGGACTGTCTCTGCCCCTGCTAAGGACCTCCTTAGGAAGATGATTTGTAGGGATCCCTCTAGGCGCATTTCCGCGCAACAGGCATTGAGTAAGTTCATATTTTACTAATTCATGTTATTACTTATTAATGTAATGTTTTGTAACGTAACGTAACATGTGCATGTGCATGTTCTTGCAGGACACCCGTGGATTGTGAGTGGGGGTGTGACGAGTGGTCATCTATCTTGATCTTGAATTGAAGATTGAAGATGAAGCAACTATGTCCAATTTTGTACATTATTACAGTAGCCTAGCTTTACGATTAGGTTCTTGTTATTTTTTTTAACGGAGCCTTTTTCTCTGATGTACACAGGTTTAGTTTAAAGAGTTTCAGTTTGGGTAGCTAGGTTTAGCAAATAACCTGTTTCTTTTGCTTCTTTCAGGAATCAGGATCTAACTATAAAATATCAGTGTCAAATATCTATTAATTTTATCTCATTCTGTTTATATCATGTTTCATTTATCTAATATGCACATGTATTTGCTTTAAACAAATTTTAAGATAAAACTAACTACAATTAAACATTTCAATAATTTTATGATATTTTTAACCACTTTTAAGACATATCTAATTATTAGTACCATAAGAACATGCAGGAAATTATTAATTTATTTTGGACAACCCAATATTTGTTCTAATTAATTATATGGCATATTGTTTTTAATAAAAACTTAATAATGATTAATTACATGTTGTATATAAATTAATTAAAAATCATGTATCACTTAATAGTTTTTCATAAGTACGTATTGATTATTATATATGCACGTTTATTCAAGTTTAACTAGTTGTAAGCCAAAATTAATTACCATTATATTTCAGTAACTACATCACATTATTAATCACTTATGAGACATAATTAACCATTAATGCTACAAGTAAAAATTAATAATTAATAATTATATACAATTACATATGCTAGTAAAAAAAAATACTTCGTGTATACACTATATTAAAAGAAGAAAAATAATTCTCTTTATGAGTAATTAGTGCAGTTTCAAAATAAAATAAAATAAAATGAGAAGTTATTTATAGAAAAATATAGTTTTAAGAAGTTACATAAGGAAAAAAAAAGGTTCATGTAAGAATGAAAATAAAAAATAATTATAATAAAGAGTATTTTCTTTATATAATAGTATAAACTTACTTCCAAGTTTCAACTATTCTAACTTTGAAAGACAAACTTAATCACTTTATAATTAATTAGTCATGTCACAAATTTTCTTTAGTTTTTCTCTCTTTTTATTTTTTATTCCAATAGATGTACATTAATTCGACTCAATACGTGAATATTGACTGAGAACGTTGTTTTTTTCTCAATAAATTCTGAAAAAAGGAAATTAACTATAATATATAGTTTCTAAATAAAACTATAATAATTTCACCAGATTATTTATATAAAAAAAGTTTCATCTTAGAATTTACTTTAAACTTAAATTCATTTGTGGGTTTAACTTGACGATCCGGATAAATAAAGTAAAAAATAAAAATGGGGAAGCACTCTGATGAATAATTCTATTTAAATAAACTATTATATTATTTATGCAATAATTTTTTACGATACTTTATAGTATTATTTTTTATTTTATCTTTTGTTTTGTCATATACTTCTCTCTATTTCTTTTATGATTCTAAAAAATACTATAGGAATTTATTGAAAATAACAATTGATAAATAAATTGTTTCAAAGGAGGACGTATACGATGACGTTTTAGGGAGAGAAGCACATGTACTTATGAGGTTAGTTTTCAGCTATATACTTATAGTCATGTTGATACGTTCCTCGTCATTTCTTTGAAGAAATATTCTTTCCACCAAAATAATGTCTCAATGGGATTTTTGTTTTACTCTGGTTCTTCGTTTGACCATGGAAAATTGATACAATATTCATTAGTTTTTTTTGGACCTTTTTTATTTGTATATTTTATTATATCAATGTTCACATATGTGTTGATTAGGACTCCGCCCTGTTTGGAACCAAAAGTATACCTTAGAAGGATTATTATTCTTTTTTAGTACTAATAAGTTGGTGGTTTGAATCAAACTGAATTGGATTCTTTTAAATAAAATATTGAAAGTGGATAAAAAATTTAAAATTAATGAAAATTATAATTTCATAAATAAATGGTTGGAAAGGACAAAGTAAACGTTGACGAGTGAAGGAGAAACACTTCTGCTTATGAGGTTTTTTTTTTTTTTTTTTTAATGTAATATAAGGTTTAGTTTTAAGTCAAGTGATACGTTCCTTGTCATTTTCTTTTCATGAATATATTTTTTTCCACTACTAGGCTTTTTTTTTACTCTTGTTTTTATTCAAACATAATATTTATTTATACTAGTGGGATCGAGACACTTCGTATCTCTATTAAAGATAAAAATAAAAATAATAAAAATATATTGGTCTAACTGATATTATAATTAGTCTGTTAGTTTCAAGTTTTTGAATTTGATTAAAAATATTATTTTTCTAAATTTTTAAAATAGAAAAGTATAATAGTCAACAAAATGCGGAAACTAAGGTGGTTACTAAAAAAAGTATTCCATTTATATATTAGTATAGATATATAATTTATTAAAAAATTATTATATATAATAAATATTTAACATGTGTATTGCACTGTAATGACTTATCATGACCCTTACATTTATTGAAATCGTCAACTAGCAGTGAAGAAGCCACTAATTTTATCTAAGATTAATATATAAGTAGTTTCTGGACATGCAAAGGAAAATATGTATAAATATGTACACAATTAAAATAAACAAAAGCAGATATATGTGTGTCTACATATATAGTAATCCAAAATTTATAAATGTAATCCTAAGTTACTGATCAAGCAACAACTATGTAAATGGTTATATCAGAGTAACTAGACCAAAAATTATAGTAAAACCAACCACTTGCATGGACTCACAGTGTCACATCCTGCCTCTAACTAACTCTGTCATACTCCTATAAAAAAAATATGATTATTATAGTCCAACTACCAAAAAAATGTGCTAGGGTAAGTTAGATTTTCTTAGAATAAACATAATAAGTATAAGATCAAAACTTCTATACTAATCACCAACATATAACTATACACCATATCAACATGACATCCAACACCTCTATCAAAGATAAACACCTTGATTTAATTCACACCACACAAATGTCACTCAACAACCAAAGTCATATAGTATATGAACAATCACCAAAACAACGCATCATATGCATACACTTCAACTAATGCATTATCACACATTCACCTATGAAAATTTCCTACAACACATGAGTAATCTAACTGGTTTGACCTTACTGAACCAATTGATCGTTATCACACCATATACGTCTACTAGATCAACAACTAAATTGATATCAATACATATCACATGATTTTTCGAATGTCGCCACTTAAATTAGGAAAGTTCAGTATTATTATCAAGTATAACATAACTTGATTGTGGGTTTACCACGCTATATATTGACATGCATTAACCTAGTTACTTATGGGATAACCTATTAATTATCCTTACGAGGTAGTATCACGCACCTCTTCAGTAATCAATTAAGGGTTGTAGCCCTTAACTTCATACATTACTCCAACATTGACTAAGAATCTAGAGGAGACTCAACAGTCCACTCTAAGAGTTATTGCTTACCAAAAGAGGGTTGTTCGATAACTGATCTCCTAACTCTTTAATCCTAAGTCAACCAACATGTCTTAATATCTATAGCATTCTCAACATTAACACCTCAACAATCATCATCTATATATATTACCCCAAGTCAATGGATATAGATCTAACAACATTCGATAATTTATAACATACCAACGCATCTCAACAATTCAACCATGTAATCATTTACACACACACACACACACACATATATATATATGTATCATCCTAAATCAATATATATAAAACAACATTATCAATCAACACACAACATAGAACCATGTAATCATTTATACACACACAGACACAAACACACACACACACACACACACACAGACACACACACACACACACACACGCACACACACACACACGCACACACACGCACACACACACACGCACACACACACACACACACACACACACACACATATATATATATATATATATATATATATATATATATATATATCATCCTAAATCAATATACATAAAACAACATTATTAATCAACACACAACATGCAATAGATTCACCTAACATATTAATGTTCACCATTTAATTTATCAAACAATAAGATATCATTAAGAAACTCGCACTTAGCGCCACACACCATATGCTTAATGCCACACATCTCGTGCTTGACACTGTCGAGACAGGGAGTTATGTGCCTTACCCACGCTTGACGCCATACAACCTATGCCTAACATGGATTAGGTGGAAACTCCTTGGACCCTCATGTCTAGCATGACGAGGTCCCACGCTTGACCTTTAACCAATCCAAAATGATTTTCTCTCCTCACACCATGAATCACTCTTTTGACATCCTACGTTAATCCAACCTAAGACAATTCTTTCACCTGACACTCAACACCATTCAAATCTTGCCTGATGTGGTTGCAACACAAGACAATTTTCTATCCTCATACCCAATGCTATTAATTATGCGCTCAACATAAACAAGAAAAAAATGCCCAATTAAGTCCATGTTCGGTGTGACAGTAAATTTTGCACTTGCAAGCTCATGAATTGACTCACCATCACCTGAAAAATAGATAATCCCAAGCATGTAATATCATATATTCATTGTCAACGACTCATTTTACTCAATTGAACATATACACCAAAAATACATATCATCTTTATTAATAGTATAGATAAATGTTTTATTTTTAATTTCCTAACGAAATTGATATCAGTAAGTAACTAACTTGATTAACGAATTTCAATTTTAAGGACTTGTAGACTTTTAATTTCAAAAACTATCATAACATTATCTCACTAATTCAAGTAGTAATACATAGGTTTACTATAAACAGATTAAAGACTCGGCACGCAATCTACGAGAACCAAAACAAGTGCTAACAGATCTTTGACTTTAAGTAAATGAAACAATCTTGAGAGTCCTGTGTTTAAACACCTTAGAAAGATTCCAAGTTTCAGTAGGCTTAAACTATCATCAAATTGAATAACTTAATAGAAATTAGTGAACCAAAATATCAAATGCTAAGCCCCGCATATGTTCAAAATGTTAAGCGCGGTGCTATCCATGTAACAAGTTACTTATAAAATTGCTTCTATTGTGATATTTTCGGTTAACAACTACACAAAATATTAAAAATGATGTTACATCATCTTGAATATTCCGCTGGGGGAGGGGGGGTCTCTCAGAATTCAAAATAAAGAATTATCAAATACTAATCATAGATTAAAAGTAATTAGGATTATAAGATTATGATGAATGAAGGTCACATTCATGTCCTCTATCTTCGGATTTTGTCGCCTAATATATAGTTGCTGAGGTGTTTGATTGAAGACAGTGACAATGGCAGGATCATATATGACGACGAAATAATACTAAGAAGGCGTGGACAAGGCAAGAAAGGGCACATCAGCATATGGTATAAATTATTACTCATTGATTATGTATTGATGATGTTAATTACAAGAACTGCTCAATCAAACTCTGTGCTGATTACAATAATTTTGGTTTAAAGGGTCGGCAGATTACTACGTTTGCAACTAAAGTCACACAGACAGTTGTCTCTTACATCACCACAAGTTTCATTTTTAAAAGTAAGTACTTTGACAAAAATATGTGTTATGATGTAATGGGAGATCAATTGGATATAGTTTAGTTGAAACGGATATAATAATTTAATACAAACTATCATTAATTTATTTTTTGGCCCAGCAGAAGGTAGATTTTAACTGTGACAAACTAACAACTACTGTTTTTCTTGAAAAACGATGGTTTAATTGTTTATACAGAATATGATTCTTTTTAATAAGAAATTTAAAAAAATACGCGATCTATAAAAAAAAAATTTAAAATTGGGCCCCTATTTATTTTATTTTATATTTTATATAAATTGGGTTTAATAAAAGTCATTTAATAATAAAAGAATTTTAAAAAATTGTAATACTAGGACTTGTTAGTATGCTTAAAAAAATCATGTTTTTATTAACATTCATCCGCTATTTAAAGTCTATTTAAATAAAGAGTAAAATTTAACTCTAATATATCTTCAAAATAAGAGTAATAATTTATATTACTTGAAAATTACTGAATAATAAGTAATGAAAAAAAATATTATAACTGATGTAATTTTAGACAAATAAATAAGAACATTTTATACTAAATAGACAAATAAACAAAAAAAAAGGCTTAAGTAATATCAGAAAAGAAGATTGCCACAGAAACAACACAAATCATGATGTTCGTCTGCATGCTTAATGCAATAACCCAAAAAAAGACGGTCATAGTGGAATCAGCGGCGGGCAGGACTGGCTTTCCGAAAGTCAAACATGCAACAATCACACACCCTTGCTTACGACGAAATGAATTAATATGTAATAGTAAGCAGAAGGTGAACATAATAATTTAAAAAAAAAATGGATGTTATTTTCCCCCACAAAGCCCGTTTGGAAACATAAACTTTAAGATGACGTCTAGGCCCATTTTTCCCTTAAAAATGAAATTTCCCCACAAATATGTACGAAACCTTTAAAACTTTAATTTCAGTTTCTCATTTCTACAGGTTGAACCTGAACTTCTTGAGGAGGGAATCCAATAGATCACAACATCACATACGAAAACTACAACCTGATCAGAACCTATTTTTTTCTCAGTACATTCAATACCTCGAATCAAGTTTCAGGGAAAAAAATCAAATAAAAACGAAGGAGATCGCAAATCAAACAAGATTTCTCACACAAAATAAAGAAACAACGAGAAACGAGGGGAATCGACGACATTGTTTTACCAGCCTCACCTGCCATCCATATGCCAATCGTATAAGCATTTTAAATGGTTCTCAGCAATAGATGCATCTACGCTTGAGAAACTTACAGTTATGAAAATATACCAGCTATTAGTGTACAACGAAGACAAGGAGACTGACTCCATCTTGAAATGAAAATTTGTACCAATAAAAAACAATGGTTTACATAGTTCATAATGGCGTTTCCCTTTGATTTTACAATTCCAAATTCCATATATCATAGTAGACGAAATGGAACTCGACTTTCCCTTAATCGCAACCATTAGGAGTTCAAGACCAAGCTGACCCAGAGTAGCAGCAACCTTTTTGCCAAATTTCACACTTTTGCACCCAGGAAGGACTGCAACGGATAGTGAGAGGGAGCCAAAATTAATACATTGCTGAATGCAAAAAGTGCGACCAATGAAAATAGAAAACATGGACACTGTTAAGTGGAGTGCTAAGTGATGTGATATAACCGCTTTAATTGAGTGACTGATTAAGACATTACAGTTTAGCTTGTTTTGGCCTCACATTAGGTGTCCCCACACGGTCACACCCTTTGTGTGCAGGACTAATCCATTTAACTCAAAGCCACAAACTCCCTCACACCAAAAGTAACAAATGCAACAGCGCCCATTTACTGATTAGGATGGGAACCATACGAAACAACTAATAAATCTAATGGCTTTGGTTGCATTGATGCTTGCTTCAGATGAAAAGCTTCACTACTGTTTATCTTACAGTGCTAAATTCAACTTCTCACATGTTTCCTAGTAGAGTTAGCACAATAAATAAGAGCATTCTAATTATCCTAATTATTACGGAAATGACTGAATATATGTCTCATTAGCCAGACGCCTAATCTCAACCAAAAGCACTTCAAGTTCAATTATTTGAAGGTGGAAACAAGAAACAAATTCTCAGCCAGATACAAAACCCAGTGTGTACGAAAGAGAAAAATCACTATAAAGATTGATACTCAGAAACATCTACATTTGTGCGAAGGAGCATTATATCAAGAGATATCTCTCAAAGTCACATGCATTAGAAGATGTGTACCTACAGATGTCGTGCAAGCATTGTTGGCAAATAGTTATCTTCCTACCTTTACACCTGCTGGAGAGTTTCCAGGCTTAGCAGTTGTTGTACTTCCAAAATTGAGCTTTGTTTTTTTATCAGATGGCTTTAATATTTGGAAAGAGCACATTAGTGTCTCATCAACACTCATCATAGCACCAGCATTGTCAAACTCCCCACAATAATTAGGTGCTGAAAATATTGTTACAAGCTGTCGATTAGCAAAGAACTCATATCCATCTTCGACAACCTGGTAAAAAAAAGGATTGAAAACAAAAACAAATTATTTCCAATAGCATAGTTGATCAACACCTACAATCGCCCAATCTAAACAGAAGGCATGTACAAAATGAGGCATAAGATGCTAAACCTAATGCATGACATCAGAAGATATTTAGGCTCAATGCATAAGATTGTGTTGCATTTACAAGGCAAAAAGTAATTCCCAGTTTAATAAAAAGTATTTGTAACGATGCAAAGAGATAGATTAAAATTGATGGGAAAAGGAAATACATTTCAGTCATAGAAATAGAAATGGGTATACAAACTCAAACCCGAAGACCTGGTAACACATTAAGCACCAAAGGAAGGAGTTTAACCTGATGAGCACGACAAATGAGATCAAGATCATGTTTCTGAAGAAACCCTGAGACCTTATCAGCACCAAATGTATATGAAACCCCCCTGTCATTCATTCCCCATCCTTGAACATCTTTGCTTGGGTCAGACCAAAGGAGATCACAAAGCAAACCTGTATCAGGAACATCAGTGGGCCGCTGAAGATTTCTTATCTGATCCAAATTATGCAAGTCAGGAGAAAGTCCCCCATGCATACACAAAATCTTTTCATCTACAAGGGCTGCCACAGGCAGGCAATTAAAGCAGTCTGTAAAGGTCTTCCATAACCTTACATTGAACCTTCTCTTGCACTCATCATAAAACCCATATATCCGGTTTATAGAAGCACACTCATGGTTTCCCCTTAACAGGAAAAAGTTCTCAGGATATTTTATTTTATAAGCAAGGAGAAGGCAAATTGTTTCTAAACTCTGCTTCCCTCGGTCCACATAATCCCCCAAAAACAGATAGTTGGCTTGAGGAGGTAATCCACCATACTCAAAAAGCCTTAAAAGATCAGAATATTGCCCATGTACATCACCTGAAACATCAATAAGAATTATAGTGAGAGTATTATATGGTACTAACATAATCAGTGAGTATAAGTGTATAACATGTGAATATAAATTATACAGATAAAACAAAGCCATATTCCACTATGTGGGCCCAACTATATGGGCCAATTGATGTTAGATATAAACCCATTCATGTGCTTTCACTACATAATTGGTTAATAAAATTACATCTGAGCCTCTATGTCACAATGTGATTTCAATCCTTATTGCCATCATTCTTCAAAATGAAACTTCAATTCCATCACAAGGCAGGGTGGGCAGTGCATTGCTGCAAACCTAAATGGCTCTTCCATAAGGGGGCATATTAGATATAAAACCATTCATGAGCTTTCATCAAACATCTTAATCTTTTGGGATAGTTGCTTCATGATAAATGCTATTCTAGAATTCACAGAGGCGTGTACAACTTTATGTTAAAACTAAAATATACTAATTAGAGATGACATAATATTAGTACAAAACACTTTCAGGCTTTTCAACATAAATCCACAACAAAGAAGGAGGAAAAAACAACAGTTTTAGCAAATAAATTTAGCAAACTAGTAATGTCAGAATCAGAAGCAAAAATTGAAGATGCTTGATATTGCAGTTTAAGTCAACTAAACCAACATGAGATAAATTGCTTCTACAAGCTCAATGATGTTTGAGAGGCTTTTTACAGGTGTTCTTGACGTAAATCAATCAAATTTTCATTTTGCCAAAGAAAATTGTACACAATACAAAATCCAGAAAACAAATAATGCATATTCACAAAGCTCAAATTATATGATTATTCACTCATGCATAGATTCATCAAGGACAGTCAAACACAAAAGACAAACCTCAATTTATGTTCCACAAAGAAATAACACAGCATTACAAATGCAGTCCAGAGCAAACTCATCAGTAAGTGTACAAAAGGTAACCACTAACCAGATAATCATGAAAGAGTAATGAAGCATGGAAATTCATTAACAGTGTGTTCATTCCAAAAGAGGTCCCCCTGTTATGTTTGTTTTGGTTCAAGAGAAGGGGAGCAGAGGACAGGAAAATGTCACCATGTTTGATTCTTAAGGGAAAGGAAAATATAAAAACCATGTTTGGTTCCTAAGGGAAAAGAGACATAAATAATATGAAGTTATACCCTTACCAATAATAATGGATGGGATGAGAATGTAATCCGTACAGTCCAAAAATTATGAAGCAATTTCCCTCCCCCTCCAAATTCCACCAACATTGGAGGGGAGACAAACATGGGAGGGAAGGGATTTTATCCCCCTCAATTACCCTCCTCTCTTCCAAATTGTTGAACCCAACGATATATAATTAAAAATACTCCCCTCCCCTCTCCTCCACTTCTCTCAAACAAAACACAACATCCAAAAATTGGAAGGAAATCACAGCATAATGTTTTAGCAATACCATCCCCAGCACTGAAAACCCATAATTGACTCAAAGCTCAAGTTACATGGTTATGCGCTCCCATACATAGATTCATCAAGGACATGGAAAGATAAAAGACAAACTTGAACCAAATACTAGCATTTTGGAATCTCCCTTGTAACGCAGTAGTATAGCCCATATTTTAACTGCATAGATTCATCAAGCATTTTGTACACAAATTCGCTCCCATACATAGACTCATCAAGGATTTTGTGCACATGCTTTTTTGACAGCAGCGAATCTCATCCCATACATATTCCAGAAAAATCGAACACTCTACAATACCGATCCAAATCAGGATCCTCTACAGTTTCACTGAAGTTGCAGTTAGAGGAAAAATAAAAACAAAAACAAAAACACGTGGCTCCCACTATTTCAAAAACCATTTGTACATGCAATTCATAACACACTAACCCAGTAAGTAATCCCTACTAATCCAGTTCAAAACACACTCGTCAGTAAGCATGCAAATGAATCATAAAAATACACAACGAAACATGCAATTTAAAGTACAAAGCACAAAAAACACTCACTCAGATCATGTCGAAACCAAAAAATTAAGAATAATTACGGGTGCTCCGGTTTGAATTCGACGAAATTAAAGGTGGCGAAGTAATAGGGCAAAGATTACCACAAATCTTAATAGGTGCTTCGAGCTCCAATAAATTAGGTTGTTGCAAGAAAATCTCTCTGGAAACTACGCAGAGTTGACGGATCTCCGACTCCGATAGCTGCACCTGCTTCCCCGGTCGGGTACGAACTTCGAGGAGGCGATTGATTATGTCATCCAAAAGCGATTGCTCCATTTTCTTCTTCCGTCAAACCCAAAGTCAACGCTTCTAACAGTGGGTAGTGTGAGCGAATAACATGCCTCAACTGGAGAACGCCGAGTTGAAGTCGTTTTGAGCGCAGAGGGGTGTCGTTTCGGGACCACGCTGGATTTTACACATTCCTTTCGGACAGAACAAAAGGAGAGGGTTTCTTCCTTTCCTTTGTTCCAGAGAAAGAGAGAGCGTGCCGTTTCAGACAGATATCCTCGCTTTTAACTTTTAATTCTTTTTTTTTTATTATTCAATATCAAACATTAACCTTTTCAAATTTAGATGAACAAAGGTCAAGGGTTCGAATCCTGTCTTGTGTATACAGCCGCGTTAAATTTTGGGGTCACCTATCCCACCCTTTGAGGTGCCTCCCTCGTAGCGAGGAGATTAGTCACTGTTGTCGGCGGTGGATACTCTAGGGACGAACAAAAAAAAAATTTAGATGAACAAATATTACTTTCTTTCTTTTTTCTTTTCACAAAACGATAAAAATCTTATTATGGCTCTCATAGTGGATTATGGCTTTGTTCTTGCTGTATATTCATTTTAAAATTTAAATTTATTTAATTGTGTTATTCAATCACATATTGCCGCGTATTAAGCTTTTAAAGGCCACATCTAAAAAAATCTCTAACTAATTAATAATATGATTTTTTATATCAATAATGTATGAAAAATAAAATAATTATATTTGTTATTTAATTTAATATTCTCTTGGGAAATTGCAAGGTTATGATATTAAGCTAATACAACTTCACTCAAAAATATTATAAAATTAGTGAATATGATAATTATATATAAGAATTTTTTAACTTTCGAGACATGAGATATTTATTTAGAATAATGGTGTATAAAGTATATTATATCTATATAGAGATTATCTTTATTATTTATAAGTTTACGATGACATAAATATGATGGAATTTAATCACTTGAACTCAATAATTTAAATGTGTTTTGTATTTTTCTTGTCAATCTCATAATAATGCATAAAATCTATACTAGAGGTGAATGAGATCATAGGATAATTTATAAAATAAAGGCTAGCATAAAGTTGGTTTTCAATAGAATGTATGTGTGTGGTGTGGAGTAGAGGTTCATACTTCACATCTTGAACCTAACCCTAAATTACTTCTACAAATCGAAGAAATTTCATAATCATTTAAAGTCAAAACAAAATTTTTTCTTGTAAAAGTAGAACAAAAATCAAATGAATACTCACAAATTTAAATTTAACTATCATGCCTATTGTTAATTGGCAAATTGACACATTAAATATCATTTATACATTTTTTCTATCTTTTTTGCATGTGTATTCATTTCTATTCCCTCAAAATATTATAATTCTGTCTCTCACAGTTATATATATATATATATAAAAGTAAATAACATATTATCGTGTATATAAGGTTTTTCGAGGTATTGTATAAAAAGATTTATAATTAATTGATAGTATAACTTTTTACATTAATAATATATGGAAGTAAAAAAAATATTATTTTTATTATTCAATTTAGCAATATTTTTTAAGATGTTGCAAATTCATAATGAAGTTAACACAACTTTCTTTGACATTAAAGGCACTAAATGATTTTTTTAAGACCATAACAATGCGTATATTGTGTCTAAATAAGGATTATCTTCACTATTTATAAATATTGAATGACATAGGTTAGATGAGGCTTAATCACTTTAAATTCTTAATTTAAATGTCCATTATGATTCCTATTTCATTTTCTTAAACATTGTGAATATGTTGATCATTAGGTAAGTTGAGTAAATTATCAATTTTGTTCCACGAGTTTTATCTTCACTTTTATTTTGTTTCTAAAATTTAGGAAAATATTAGTCCCTTGCCATTCCTTACATCAGTCTTCCTTATTAGTTAAAGTCCTTTAAAAATTGTGAAATAGCAATAGTAATTAATAAAAGGACCATATTTAACTATAATCATACCAATATTAAGGATACGACGAGTTTAAACTCACCATCACACCTGTTTTAAAAACTTAATTCACTTTCATGTAATTTTAAAAAAATCATACAATATTTTAGACGTATGTATAATTAAAAAATCTTATAAAATAATATATCAAAATATAAAATTATTTTCACTTTCATCTCTATAAAATGATCAGTGGAATAATTGAATATAAATATCTTATTCGAGGCTATTATTTCAATCAAAATTTGTGGTAGTAGTCTTTGTTTTGTTTCTGTCATTTTTTTAAGGTTCATTTTCCTTTCTCTCTCTTTTTTTCTTCTTAATTTTCTAATCTCCCTCATCATGCTCCTATTTCTTTTCCTTAAATCACCTTCATCAATTTGATTTTGCTTTTAAGTATATTTATTACGAGCTTAGAGGAGGTTCTTCCAGTGAGATGTTACTTTAAGAACTCCTAACTAGAAAAAAGAAGGCAAGAAGAATGAAAGAGGAAAGCATACAATAAGATATATATCCCAAACAAAAAAGAATAAAGTAATGGGACATTTCACTTCCCTTTTTATTTTGTTTGTTTCATAACAGATCCTTTACGTGGCATTGTTCATGGAGCACTTGGCGACCCCCACAACCTTGCCATGTATTATGCTATTGCTGTCCACGTCTATCACAGGCAAAAAGAATCTTTGCCGTATCCTACAAATAAATTGACTTCATGGTCTATTATTTTATCACAACTAGATTTTACAATAAATTTGTCATAAGAATATCATAATGTCCTATTAGGCTGTTGCAACTTGCAAGACACACATAAACATGTTATTCTCATTGCTCAACTTTTATTACGTTCGGCAATCAGCATATTTCATCATAGCAACCTCGTCTTTGTTAAGAAAAAAAATTAAGGAATTGTACCTTGCTATTTGTTTCTTTGCAAGTGTTTATAAATAAGTTTGTTTAAATACCACATAACGTGGGCAGAACGAGATTGTGATACACTTCCATTTTTTTTATACATACACCCCCTTTTTATAAAAAAAAATTAAATTCCTAAATTATCCTAATATTATTTGAAATAAAAAAAAATTATCCTGGAAAAATATTTTAAAATTTTAATTATTTTTTTTTTAAAAGAGGTGTACTTATAAGAAAAAGGAGGTGTATATATCATCAACCTTGTAATAAGGGGGCATTGGGCCCAAGTACTCCATTGGATTCGGGAGCACGTGCGTAGTGTCCCCATATTCCGTGCTAGTTGTGGGTTTGGGCCATGAATAAGAGTCCGAAATACTTTTTTATGTTCAAATCAAATGAAGATGTTAATAATAATAATAATAATAATAATAATACAAAATTTTAAGGGAGTTTTTTTTTTGGGTAGTAAAATTTTAAGGGAGTTTAGTGACCAGGAACAAATTTTAAGAAACTTAAGTGATAAAGAAAAAAAAATCATTGATATAACAGTAATTTTAGGCGGTGTATAGCTTTTTTAAGCATTCTAACCATCGACTACATATATGAAAAATATTTTGTTATAAGAAATAAAGTTTGTAAGTATTTTCTATATTATAAAAAAAAATCGTGATTATGAAAAGAAACTTTATTATAAGAGATTCAACTATTTTTCTAGCAAAAAATTAATTGTCGATTAAATCGATGAATATTTGATACTAATAATAATAATTTAGTGATAAAAAAACTAATTTTCTAGTACATACCAAAAATAATATAGTATTACTTAAAAATATATAAATAAATAAAAAATACACGTAGGATGTTACACAAATTCACGATGGAATTGATTTTTTGAACCTAATTTAACAAGTTATGTCACACTTATAATCTAACTAATTTTTTAGTTAGCATTCAATTAACACATCTGCGTGTATGCATTATCATCATATTCGTGTATAAATATCTAAATTTTTAAAATTAAAAATATTTACAACTGTTTTAATATTATTTATCTAAATATTTGGAATTTTATGATGAATTTAGAATATTAAATAGTTAAAAAAAGGAAATTTAGTTTGTATCATTATTTATTTTATTGGTTGTATAAGTATTTTTTTTAATTCAATACTAATAGATTTTGACATTCTCTAAAAAAAATAATTATTTTAATCAAATATTATTATATTTTAATATACTTAAAAAATTAATTATTTTAATTAAATATCACATAATTTTTTTATATTAAAAAAAGTCATGATTAAATATAATTAAAAAAAAGTTAAAAAAATGTCAATTAAATACTCCCTGAAAATAAATCTTATAAAGAATCTCAAACGGTATCTCTATATACAAAGATATTGGCATCTCCATTCTCCATCTATATACTTTTCCAATAATCAAAAACATTTTTTTTTTTTTATGATTATTAAGGGGAATGGCATGAGACAATATTTGGTCAACTTAACCATGTTTCCAAAATAAATAGTTTTCAAATATGCAGAGCGGCAAGTCAGGCGGCAACTTGCAATTGATAGAATAATCTAGTTTCTTTTATTCGTATACTTGGAATTATTTGACCGGAAATTCTGGTGGAAGACAAAATACTATAGCAAGATGTTTGAGAAAAATAAATTATAAATATAATTTATACAATGTATCAAAATTAATATATATATATATATATATATATATGGACTCGCAAGACATATCCTCAAATAAAAGCATTTAAAGTGCAAATAACTATTTACAAAATTATCCATAAGACAAAACATAAATTAAATATATAAAAATAAATATATATATATATATATATATATATATATGGACTCGCAAGACATATCCTCAAATAAAAGCATTTAAAGTGCAAATAACTATTTACAAAATTATCCATAAGACAAAACATAAATTATATAAGTATATTTGTTTAAATCTCAACTTTATTGTCTTATATAAAATCTCCCAATCAGCAGAAAAACTCAACTTAAATTGACTCAGCCAAATATTGTTTGGTGATATTAATAATCTACAAAGTCATTGAATAAATACACTAATAGTGGTTAGTAAAGAAAAAATATATAAAAAAAAAAAAAAAGACAAAGCTAGCTGTAGGTGAAGTTTCATCTTTTCTTGCAAGTTTCCTCTCTTTGACTTATGGCACTCCCAGCCCATGTGCCTCAACCAATAAGCCCTTATAAAACTTGGGATTCTGAGATCAAAGTTTGGTGTTCAGAATTAATAGAGATAAGGGAATGGGTGCGTATTCACAGCATTACCTGGTGTTGTCAATCTTGATGAGTGGGTTACTAATTTCAGAATTGAGCTGCTTGGGGGTTGCCTCCAAAGATGTTGCTGAGCCATCTTTGTCAAGGCGTGGTTTGTCTAATTACAAACTGAAGATGGAGATCGTGCCTCTGAGACTCGACAATGTTCCACCTCCTCCAGGCCCTATTCCTAACAATCCTCTTCCATCACTGCCATAGCCCATTATCCATGCTATTGCAACAGCTAGCTGCTGGTATTTGAAATAAATATTGTTAATTTACTTGTTATTCTAAATCTTGAGTTAATGAATGCTGTGTCTTTGTGTGTAACCAATTATCTGTCTTGTTATCTTGTCTTAGCTTCAACAATACATTACCATTTAGTTGAATCTACCATGCTCTTGCTTGCACTGAAGTTGACCAAAAAAAGTGATTTGCTATTCCCATGATAACTACCGAGATGAAATGTGTACTTGTGCTAATTTGATTTTAAAAACTAATATCAAATGAATTTTGTCCATTAATGTGATGATTGTAATTATGGGGGGGAGGAAAAAAGACAGCATATGTTCAGTTATTTTGCTTTTCTAGTAAAAAAAATGTTTTTCTCGTGATTGATCTCTATGTATAGAATTTAATTTGTTGCGTTGATGACTTGATGCCATGCCTAATCAGCGGTTCCTTTGACGTTTGGATGGATAATAAATTATCGGGGGGTTCACTTTGGTATTACCTTAAAAATGGACCATACCTTATTAATTTTTAAGTTATATATAATTTCTATATAGAATGTTACTGATATATATAACTCAATTTATAATATATATTTGTCAGTAGAGTTAGCTTAATATGATGGGAGGTTGAGTAGACTGCACAAGCTTTTTATATTATAAATTTGTTGCTTTCATTATTACAAAAAAAACTAATTTATAATTATAATAGAATACACAAAAATTTAAGTTTAAATCTTAATATCCTCATTATAATTTTAATTAATAAAAAAAGACTTTCTAGTATTTTTTAACATTGAGTTTAATGCAAAATAAATTACACTGAGTCAATTAAGTTTTATAATTGGTAATATAAGATAAATTTTAATTAGATTTTTTGTTGATTATATATTTATAAATTTTATTTTTTAGTTTTTATAGTTAAAAATATTTTATTTTAATTTTTATATGTATTTTTTTTTCTTCTTCAATGTGTTATGTATATTTTTATAGAAAAAGTGTATGAAATTATAAGGATTAAAAGAGAAAATTTATGCGATTATAGAGAATGAACAGAAAAGGTTATGTAACTATATATATGGATCCAAAGGAAAAAAATAAAAAAAAATAAATGTATATAAGCTAAAATGCAAATTTTTAATTATAAAATTATATGTATTATTCTTCAATTAAAATTAAAACTTCACCTCAACAATATATATTATGTATTATTAAGTGAAACATTAATTTTAATTGAAGAATAACTTCATTGACAAATTATACTGGATTTTGTCCATAAACTTATAAGGTAATTAAGGGAAAATATATAAAATTTTTACGTTTTTTTATTTATAAACATCAGCGTTTTAAATGGATGAAATTTATACGAAAAAGTAAAAACTCACCGAAAACAGTTGTATTTTTTCAAAATAAAAATACATATGTACGTGAATCGGTCAATTTTTCTTATAGTTAAGAGTAATATACCTTCTCCGATCATGATTTTTATAACGAGTCAAACTTCAATTCTTAATTAAAATACACATACGTTAATATATGATAATAATATTCAGTAAATATTACTAGTATACCGAGATCCAATCACAGATATTCTAATATTTTCCTTGGTTGAATACAATTCTAGATAGAGTTCAACGTCAATAAATTGCCAACTACGAGAATCTTTTGTCTCACTGCACTGAAAATGGTCCCCAAATTCCACGCAAAGGAGACCCTCTTAAACAGAGACCTGATCCCCTGCCTAAATTAATCGAATCATACAAATCATTTATGTACAATATACACCTTAACAATAACGACAAAAGAAAACTGTAATCATCCTAGTACCATATACCATTTATATTACTAATTACAAAATAATAACTACACAGGTAAAAAATAAATAAAAACTTGTTCTATTCGATTAAATTTGAACTAATTTTTACAATTATAAATTGTATTTAACCATATTTTTAATATTTGTTTAATAAGCTAAAATAAATAGTGATAATGTTAAAAGTTCATGGAAGAATTAATTTGATCTAGATGTGGAAAAACGTATGTACTTGTTAAGAAGAGAGGATAATATTATAGAGGCGAAGATTGAAGGTGAAGAGAAGTGGAAAAAGACGTGGGAAATGATTTATTTATTTTAGTTAGACTTGGTATATATGGATTGGAGTGGAAGAGTGAAGCATGCATATGCGTGTATAGTATATATATAGTTGAAAGATTGATAAAGAAGAAGAAGAAAGTGGGTGGTGGGGTGTGAAAGGAAAAAGCAAGAGTTGAGTAATGTAACTAAGAAGCATTCATATCCATATCCATATCCTGGGAGGAGAGAGTAAGAAGTTGTTCTAAATAGTCAGTCCCCAAGTCCTCCAACACTATGAGATTATTGAGATGTTTGAGGTTCTTGTTTTTTAGGGTTTTTCTGTTGATGGCATGTCTCTTCTTCAACTCGAGAACGGGAGAGGAGCCTTGTTGGAAAGAAGCACAGTCGATGTTCCGAAGAGACTGGCGAACGGTCTCAGCAGAAAAATTCAAGACAGCCATGGAGCCTCGCATGGCCAGCGCAGCCTGGTCGTAGGCCAAAGCAGCTTCCTCGGCAGTGTCGAAGGTTCCCAACCAAACCCTGACTCCGTTCCTGGTGGAGTCCCTTATCTCGGCGGCGTACTTCCCCCACGGCCTCCTTCGGACCCCTCTGTAGGAAGCCTGAGGCTGAGGGTGGTAAAGGAGCATTTGTTGGGAATCATTTTGGTTGAAAGGGAGGGAAGAATAAGAAGTCATAGCAGTGATTTGTTTAGACTATAGGTGTGGTTGTAGGTGGTTATAACTTATATAGGTGAGGAATGCAAAGGCACTTGCTAGTTGCTAGCAGGTGGTGGTTAAGTGGTTAATGGGACCCAACCCAACCCAACTTAAGCCAAGGTGAGTGAAAGGAACTTGTGGGCTTGGCGGCCACTGCTTCTTTAATTCTCCAACCATTTACATCTTAGACTAATGTCTGCCTTCTTTTTCTCTTTACTTTAGGACTGCTTATCTTATCATCTTCTCGCTTTTCCTTTCACATGACTGTTCGTCGCCACAGTTTAAACAAGGAAAAACTTAAATATATTACTCTCATCAATTCTATTTATATAAGAAAAAGGGTAATTTACGTCACTATATTCTCGTCGGACAAAGAAAAATTTGACGTTAAAAAAATGCGGTGGCATTTTTGTAATTAAGTCTAACTTTTTTACGTTAGATCTCATAGGGGTCGACGTAAAAAAGCAAATCTATGTCGGACATAAGCTATATCCGACGTAGATTTGCTTTTTTACGTCGGCCCCTACGAGGTCCGACGTAAAATATCTACAAATTTTAAAATGTATTTGCGCGTGCGTCAATATTTAAACAAGAGAGCTTTGAGTGTAAGTGTCCTTCGGGTTTTCTGAGTTAAGATTTCGTTTGAGTGTATTGCATCTGAGTATATGTTTGCGCGTTTGGGTAATTCTTGAGTTTTTGACCGATTGCATTGGGCTCGCGTTTGAGGTTAGTTTGGAAAATCCTTTCTTAATATATTAGCTTATATGTTGAAAATAAATGTATGTATTTATCTATTAATATACTAGTTAATATTATCATCTTCTTCGCGTTTGGCTGAATCATCGTTTGTTAATACAGGTAGAAAATGCTATGTGCGTGGGTGGATCTGCAAGCAAAGTGGGTGGATCTGTAGTAGAACGGGCCGTTCTCCAAGCAGAACGGGCAGTTCTGCTTGCTTTTTTTTTTTTGGTTTCCAACTTTTTTACGTCGGCTCTTGTGAATTTTCGACGTAAATTTACATCGGCTATCACAGCCGATGTAAATTTACGTCTCCCACATTTATGTCAGACCTGTTTTTGACGTAAAAAACTTAAAATAAGCGACGTAAATTACCCTTTTTCTACTGGTGATCATAAGACCTACTGCTCATAAAAATAAATACTATTCTTTATTTTACAAAATCAATTTGTACAATTAAGTTACTTCAAATTTTATTTTCTTCAAAATAGCTGAAATTTTGAGTTTATGTTTACAATAATAGATTTAAACATATAAGCTTCAACTTTGCTACTAACCTAATCATAACAGTTAACACAAGATTTTATTATATACTGAATTGCCCAATAGATTTTATTATAAGAAAGCGGGGTTCTAGGTGAAGACCAAAAAGCAGCTTTTGAAAGGAGAAAAGAAGGTCGCAAAGCCACAGAAAAAGAACACAGCAAAGAGGAAGTATCTAGTCATGCATATATATATATATATATATAATAGCGTAACTAAGAAAAAAAACATTAGTTAGACTTCGAATTTCTTAAATGTCAATTGTTTTTGAGACAAAAGATAAAGACTTAAAGAACCGGAGATTTTTCTTTTGGTACACAAAAAGCACGTTCAAGTGAGTTGGATCCTAGAGTGTAAAGGATTAGGAATTATATATATATATTTGTAGCTTCCAACTAAAAGGCTCAATATATAGTTTTTTGTTCGTTAGTACGTCATTTTGACAATTATTTGGTAATATAATAGGAGGTGCTGGGTTAAGTCTCTTTAAACTTTTCATTTTTTTACAAATTGATTAGACACAGATTTTAATTTTAATTTTATTTCAATTGATATTTTAAGTTTGACCGATTAAAAAATTAGACATCATAAATTTTAATTTTGTTATAATTAATCCTTAAAATTTATCATTTCAATAAATAATAAATTACTAAGATAAAAGAAATATGAATTATTTATTTATTTTAAATTACACTTATTTATTAATGTTTTGGTACATATTATTTTTATTTTCATATATATTAAAATATTATATAATTTAAAATCAAAAAAGCAAATAAAGACTTTTATTTATTTGTTTTTATCATTCTATTCTCTTTCTCTCTCTTTTTATTCTAAATTCATATTTTTATTATATTTTAAAAATAATTGTAATAAAGTGAATGATTGATATTTATGATAATTAATTTAACTCTAATTTAATAATAAAAAATTGTTTGTATAAATAATATTTTGTCAAATGTAAAATTTAAGAATTAATAAAAACACAAATAAAATTGATAGTTTATTTACAAATGAGATAAAGTTTATTTACTTTTTCATATCATGATTTGTATTTAATTACTGATATAAACTAAATTACTCATCAAATTAACGAGTTTAGTTACAAAATATATATTAATCGTTAATTAATTTAGTTTGAATAAGATTTTTTTAATAATTATTCATTTTTTTTATAAAGTCACGGGACTTTTTTTTCTCACGATCTTAATATTATATACAATCGGTTAATTATATATAGATAATATATAGTATAGTACATTTATACTAATATTATATAGACTTAATTTTAAATTTGAATTGAATTTTTCATTATAAATCTTGTTATACCATATGAAATTAACATGAAAAAATTGTATATATGATGACTTGATCCAAATAAATTTTTTCCACAATTTTTCTTCTCAATTTCAAAAGCCTTTTTATTTAATTTAAACCTAACTGAACAATATAAAACCTAATTATTTCAAAAATATTTATTAAAAAAACATAATAAATGAAACAACGCAAATATTAAAGAAGGTCCATTCCTTCCTTTCAGGTCGTTTAGAAAAATGCATGAACCTGTTACCATTGTTGACAATCGATGCTGAAAGGTTACAATCAAAACGTAACAAGATGTTGATGCAGAAATTGTAGTTTCTTTGGATTACAGGACCAAATTAATTAAACAACGCCAAAAACTATATATCAACCTTTTCTTTTTTTCAGTTTCAGTACTCTGACGTTGGTGTGATGTAAATAAATAATTCATACATATTAAAATTTGTAAGAAGCTCTGAATTTTAAACCATTAATTAATTATTTTCTAAAATATAAAGACTATGGAAGTAATCTGATTGATAATTAAGCACGTAAAGGGAGGAGGAAGTAATGAACAGATATATGAAGATGATGAACACGATCGTTGCTTTCTGCATGCACTGTACTTGGTCAATATTCTTCTTTGTGATTCTCTGTTTGTCTTTCTCTGCTTGCAACCACACGTGCATGAGAAAAAGACAATACATAATTAATTATAGTACACTGGGATCAAGAAATAATTAAAATAAAAATGTAGAGGCTAATGCCAGAGTAAAAAGAGCTTTCAAACTTCTAGAAACGTTGAAGGTTGAAATTTGAAAGGGAAATCGTAATATGGCGGCACTGCCTAGTGCTTACTTTCTGACCAAAGGAATTCGTCTAGAAACTACAAATTTTTTTTATACACAGCTAATGGTATTAAAGATGATAATTGTAGTTTACATCTACACGTATTCTTTTATATGCATAAATTTTAATATTATCAATTCATTAGAAATTATTTTAAATGTGATAATTTATGATCAGATGAAGATGATAGCGAAAAATATATATTTTACACAATCAAAATGTATTCAACTTCTTTTAAGAAAAGGTAGAGATTAGATACAATAGATTTATAGAATATTAGAAGTGTAAGTTGTCTTGAAATTGAACTCATGGTTTGATGAATATTAATCCAAATTCATCACAATGATAAAGAAATAAGCCCATAAACAAGTTTGAGCAGTCATTGTGGACGAGTAATTAGAAAAGCACTATTTTAATTGAAATAATGAATTAAATAATAAAAAAGCATATGCGCACTAATTAAATTTTTATATATAACAAGTTTCTATGGTTGATTTTTATAATAAACACTTCGAAAGTGATACATAAATTTTTTATTTATTGATAACCTAAATTTATTTACAGTAACGATATATAAAAACTAATCTCTTAAAATAAAATCTTCTATTTTGATTTAATTAAATAACTAGAATAAGTTTTTGTAACGATAAAGTAACTACTACTTTTATTCATATTTTTCCTTTATAAAATCTTTTATATCATTTTTGCCTAATAGAGAGATCAGGCTTACATATTTTTTCTTCAAATAAATAATGCCAATCATTATTGTTTCTCTATTTCTCTTTTTTTTTTCTTTTTAATTCCTTTTATAAATTAAAGGTTCATAGTTCCAGTGTATTACTTGCTAACTTGCATCATCCTTTCGAAAATGATGGTCAACCATTTCTTCTTACTGTCAAGTATCGATTGACAGCGAGTGTGATGTAATAATTGGGTCACAAAAAAATTTACGACATGTCCTTGTCTCCTCATTAAGGGGGGTCGTTAGTTGGAGTAATATTTACCAAAGAAAGTGGTAAGGTTCAATGATTTAATCTATTAAATTTAAAATAAATTTATTTTTAGTTACTTAAATTTAAAATTACTATTTTTAATTTTTATAATTTTTAAAAATCTTATTTTAATGTTCAGATAATCGATAACATATTTAAAAGTGACTTATTAAGATAGTTAAATAATATCAATCAGATTTAATACGATATTTTTATTAAAAAATACTAATAAATAGATTTTATATAATAATATTTAATAAATTTCTTAACAAAATTTGAATACAAGAATTAAATAAGATTTTTAAAAATTATAAGAATTAAAAATAATAATTTTAAATTTAAAAAATTAAAAATAAATTTATTTTAAATTTAAGGGATTAAAAATATATTTAAGCCTTTTTTTTTATGTTGGAGGTAAATTTACTATTAGTTTATTAAATTTAAAATCAACTTTTTTTTAAGTATATGTAATTTAAAAAATATATGTTTTAATTTATTGTGATAGTAAAATTGATTGATTCAATTCTTTAAAATTTTAATATGATACTTTTATTAATAATAATTGGACTTGTGCCCGATGCACGAAAAATAAATTATTATAATTAATAAATTTTATTTTAATAATTAATATATATAAAGTGAAATTAATTGAACTCAACATAACATGAAAAAAAATATTTAAATATATAAATAAAATGACAATGATAAATTATTGAAAACATGATAATATGAAATATTAGGAAAACTAAATTGCATTTTGTCTCGACTTAAAAAATATCAATATCTACAATCTTATTATATGAACTTTTATCTTTCAATCAATTTTTCATGCTGCAATGTTCTTTAGTAATGTAAACTCCCAAGTCATGTCCTCTAAAAAGAAGATGAAAGTAAAAAAGGAAAAAACTTTTAATAATATGTTAGCTATACATCAACGTTAAAACAACTAACCTTTAAAATTAAAACTTCATACAAGTTTACCAAAAAATGGTTTTCTTATAATTGATAGAGAAAGTGTGAATCATCATATTAGAAGTACAAAAGTAACAAAATCATAAAGTGGACAATGTATATATGAAAAGAGTATTTTTAGAAATAGAGAGTATGATAAAATAAGACAATCAAAATGAAGTTTTGAAAAGAAAAATGCTTTAAAAATTAGAAAATAATTAAGATCAATTGACATTAAAAAACTGCAACTAATACATAAGAAATAGATATCCATAATTAATTCTCTGAGTAAAAGACAAAGTGCACAAACAATTTGATAAAAAACGTATGAAGCAGAGAGAAAGGAAAAGAAGAAGGGTTTATAGTATTATATGATTAAATTCAAATCTCGTGCAATGTTTCTCTCTTAATAAGAATTATCAATTGACATTGAAAAGCTGTAATCAATACATAAGAAATAAATATTCATAATTTTCTTTATTAAACCCTAAACCCTAAACTCAAAAGTACTAAAGATTTAGAATTTATTAAATTAAAAAATAAAATTCAGAATAATTATGATAACATAAATTACATAAATACCATTATTTTGAGAGGAAAAAGAAAATCACATAGACACATACTTCCTTTTATTATAATAAAGATATTAATAAATAAATTTCATGTGACAACTTTAATTAATAGTGAATTTTATTTGACAAGTTTATTATCAATATTTGAACATAAAAATTAAGATAATGTTTTTTATACTAAAAAATTAATTTAAAAGACTAAAAATAAACTTACCAACTATAAAAAAAAAATTATTTCATATATAAGAAAATAATAATATACTTAAATCTTTTTAAAGAAAATTTAGTCAATTTTTAGTATTTGTGAAAAGGAAGTATGAATTTTGTTTAAAAATAAAATGGGCTAATAAACTTTAAAAAGATCTGTATATAAAAAAAATCCATGATGAGTAATAAGCCACATATAATAGCACTGACTTATTCCCGCTTCTTGCAGATCAACTTCAAAGTAATGATTGATCCTTATTTATCAGATATTATGATTTAAGCATTGCTTTGCAATTCTTTTATAATTTAAAAGTATAATGTATTTGAGGTTGGAAGCATATAAAATCAGAGGACTGTGGAACTAGAGATGGCATTCCTTACTTCAGAAGAGAATTGGGATTTGGGAGTCACGATAATATTTGATACAAAAAAAACTCTTCCAATACAAATTACTTATTATAATACTAGTAATTTGTATTGAATAGTAATATCCAATATAACAAGTCACAAAAGATCCGCTTATTAATTCAGAATTCAGATCTCAGCTATCTGCCATTGCCAACAATAGTTTTCATTTCTCTAACTGCCCACAGTCATCTATTACTACAGGTTCTAATGTTCTGCCACTTCCAGAACCCACCTTCTCCATCTCCTTCACAACATTGTACCCATCAACAACTTTTCCAAACACTACATGTTTTCCATCAAGCCAGGGTGTCTTTGTAGTACATATAAAGAACTGAGAACCATTTGTATGAGGTCCAGCATTTGCCATGGAGAGAATTCCAGGGCCAGTATGCTTCAAATTGAAATTCTCATCCTGAAATTTGGCACCGTAAATAGACTCTCCCCCAGTCCCATTTCCTCTCGTAAAATCTCCCCCCTGACACATAAAATCTGGAATAATACGATGAAATGTAGACCCTTTGTAATGTAAAGGTTTCCCAGATTGACCAATCCCTTTCTCACCGGTGCATAGGGCCCTAAAATTTTCTGCCGTTTTTGGGGTTGCATCAGCATACAACTCCATCACTACTCGCCCAGCTTTCATCTTTCCAATTAGAATATCAAAGAAAACTTTCGGATTCTTTGACATATTGATTACCACAACAGAGTTTCTTAGATCCTATACATATAAAAGTTGTAACTTGTAAAACACCAATCTATAATATTAAAACAAACTGGCAATACACATTGCTCTATTGGCTAAAACTGAGATAAAAACAAATATAACCAACAGTATAGCCATACCTTGATTTTTGCCGAAGAAAAAAAATGGCAAAATTCAAAAGCCCCGAATGGGATTCGAAAAAAATATATTTTTGTTTTAGCTTGAGATATAAGAGTTACAATATTACAATATTTGCCTCAATGCAGAGGTGTTCTCCCTTGTTAACTGGAACACACCAAAAGAAATACAGTGTGGCAACATTAGATGTAGCTTAGGTTAATGTTTTGTGCTGACGTCAGAACTGATCAGCACAAGACCGTCCATAAGCACAACAGAATTAAACAAAATCATCAAGGAAACAATTTTCACATGCAAATATTGTTCCCTTCGCAAACAAAAAAAAATACAAAAAAAAAAAAGAGAGCAAGCCCTAAATAATGAAAACAAATTAAAATTGGGTTAATTAGAGAATGTTCATCATTCTCCACAAAAATCCTCGAGACAGGAACAACAAGAGGATCTGAATTGAAAAGAGGATGAGATGCAATTTAGCACATGTTTTGAACTCACAGGCTGTGATAGAGCGCCTGCAAGTCTTCGATATGCGCGGAATCAAACAAAGGCAACAGAAATGAAACGAATGAGAGAATGGAAGAGTGAAAGTACCTTTGGCAGAGAGCTTGAGGTTGAAATTGGTACTGAACAATGAAGGAGGCGCAACAATGGCATTGATATAGAACAAACCCTAGCCCTAGCCAAGGTTTAGGGTTTTGCATATTTGTGGGTTGGGCTTCCTACTCCAATGAGCTCAATTTAAAGGCCCAATATTGAGAGCTGGTCTTACAACCAAAAGCCCAATTTCTAGCCTTTTTCTTTTATTGACTCTACAATTGATCCCAAAATTGCGGACGAGCACCAAATGAAATTTTCGTGATCATATCATACCCTAAAATAATATATTATTAATTTTGTTATTCAATGCAATGATGAAATTATAATTTACTTTTTTATATGTGAGAATCCTTTTATTTTGTTGTTTGAATATTTTATAATGGAATGTAACGCTAACTTCATTATATTATTTGAAAATGAATATAATGGAATAAATTATACATTTTTTAATTTTCATGTTACATTTTTTTAAATATATTATCCATAATATTGTGTTTGGATTAAAATTTTTGATAAATTTCTTATTCTTATATTTTAATTTGAGTTTTTTCTATTTATTAAATATTGTATTTAGATAAATCAATTTCAACTTATTAAATGTTAAAATTTTAATTTAGATAGGATAATTTAATTTTCATTATTTGTAATTTTTTTAAATGTATATATAAATCAGAATTTTAATATTAAAGTTTACAAAATAAATATAACTAATTTTAAATATTTAATAATTTAAAAACAATTAAATATTAGACTATATTCAATAATTTAAAATATTTAATATTTTAACAAATTATTAATCTTTTTGTCCATAATAAGTGGTGTCATGTTAGTTTTTCAATGTGATATTAATTACACCTTTTCATAATACTCTTTAGATAGTAATTATTATGTTGCATCATTTATAACAAAAGAAAAATAATTATAATATTAATTTTTTAAAATTATTATTCTCTCTCATCTATTTATCAATTTTTATTTATCTATGTAAAATAATTTAGAAGGATATTTATTGTGAGACAAAAATAGATGAGAAAGAAGAGAGAGATTAGTCAAAAAAGAGAGAGAGAGAGAAAGGAAAAAAAAAGAGAGGAAAGAGAGGTGATGATTTACAATTGGTTTGGTTTGAAATGATTTACAATTCTTAATGTTTTTTTTTGCACGTTTCTATTTTTTAAAACATAAAAATAGACAATTTCATCTCAAAATTTAAATATTAATATAATAATAAAATAAAATAATTAAACATAATCAAATAAAATAATGGGTATTAGGTGAGATAATGTCGATAAATGATAAGAGATAATACATATGTGACATTGGGTATAATAAATGTATGGCAAAATGAGTTGCATAAGGGGTACTAAGTATAGTAGGCGAGTTTGGGAGTAATAGAATCAAGTAAATTGTGTTAATGTGTTAATAATTAACAATAAAATAAATTTATAAAATATTAAAAATTTTAATTAGTTTAGTACTCAAACATTGGATTTTTAAAATGCAAAATCTATTATATATTTAGGGTTAATTATTTTTTATTTGAATTGGAATTGATTTAATCAAGAAAAGAAAAATCAAACCATTTTAATTAGTTTGGTACATTATTGACAAGAGGAAGAAAAACAAGAAAAACAGATAAATGAGATAGAAAAAGAAAAAATAAGAGATAAGAAAAAAAAAATTAGATAACATAGACAAGCGAGAATAAGTATGAAAATTTTTACTTCTAACTTTAAAAAAAAATTGAAATTGTATTAATTTAAGTAATTAAAATACTTTTATAAATGATTAGAATTTCAACTTTCGGTCATTCTTTTTCTAACAAAATATTTCAACTAAAAATAATTTAAATTCAACAAAAAAAACGTATATTCTTTAATTTCTCAATCCAAATACAATATAAATATAAAAGTTTGAGTTCTACTTTTTGAACATCCAATTTTTTTTATATATAAAAAAAAAAAAAAAAAAAAACTCAAGCAACACCTCATTTCCCATTTGCTCATTTCTAATTATTTCTTCACCTCAATTTTTTCACACAGAACACCGGAAAAGGAAAAAAAAAATTAAGAGTGTTGATCTGATCTTGTCTTACACAAGTGTCTAAAAAAACATTTTTGCAACAGTTTCTTTTTAGTTACAGCTATGATCGGTTAAATAATGGAATGGAACAACTTACATTACCCTTCACTCCATTCTTCTCCAAAGTCCAAACATAGTCTTAGTCCATTCGAAGAGAAGAGCTATTTCTCCCCCGGTAGAACCCAAACACAACATAAATGCTTAGTAATTAATTTGTCTACTTTCTCTTCAATTTTCATTGCCGTTTCAATCCATAATTACGTCCACCGTCCATCTATATTTATTATCGATTCATTATATTTATTACTCATCCATTATATAAGTGTCTAGTATTTGTTAGAGTTTGATTATATCTCCACTTCATTTTTGTTGAACTAATCATGGCGAACCAGTGGTGGACCAACACAGTTCCCGTGGGCGCGCTTCAACCCGATCTGGGCCTCTCCCTAAACGACGTCGCGCCGCCACCCAACGAGGAGCCCAAAGAAGGAGCGACGGACGCGTCTTTGCTCGTGTCCACCTCGCGCAGGCCCAGGGGCCGCCCACTGGGCTCCAAGAATAAGCCCAAACCGGCCCAGTGCATGGCCCAAGACACCGCCAACGTGATCGAAAGCCACGTGATCGAGATACCCAACGGAGCTGACATTCACAACAGCCTGATTGAGTTCGCGAGAAGGCGGCAACGAGGCGTGTGCGTCATGAGCGCCACCGGCGCCGTGGCGAACGTGAGGCTCCGGCAGCCCATGCCCCCCGGCGCCGTGATGGTGCTGGAGGGGCGGTTGGGGATTGTGTCGCTGAGCGGTTCGTTTCTTCCCGGAGCGTTAGCGGTGGGTTTAAGCGTTTATGTGGCGGGTGGGCAGGGACACGTCGTCGGAGGCAGAGTGGTGGGTCCACTCGTTGCCTCGGGAAAGGTTATAGTCATTGTGGCTGCGTTTTCCAATGCTTTGTATGAGAGATTACCCATTCAGGATGATGACGATGATGATGATGAAGACGATGATCCTTCAAATAATATACCAGACATGAACGTTGAACCTTGTTCTCATTGCTCTCTTTCTCGTACCAGATCACCACCCTTTTAATCCTTAGACATAGACTCATCTCTATTTCGATATTTATTAGTACTATGTTGTTGATGGTAGCTTATGTTATCTGGTTTTAATGTATCAATGTTGGTTTAGAACAGAAACAGTTCCTTCCAAACTCTTCCCTCGTAATAAAAAAACTTATCTCTCTTGCTGTCTTGCAGTTGTAAGTAACCGATGATGCAAGTACGTACGTTAACATTTTACAAATTTATAACATACCAACATGCAAGCTGCCTCTCGGAAAATGGAGTTTACTTTTATAACAAGAGAAAGAGAAGGAGTGTTATACCACGTTATTGAAGGAAAAACAAAATAAAATTCAGTTTTTCGGTCTATACCAATTTCTTTCTAATATACCATATGCATGAATTCCAGGGCCAAAACATCAAAATTATGTTAGCTATTCCTTCCTGTAATATATAATATGCTATTTTCTACTATTTTTTAATTATTAATATATTATTATTGCAGCAATATTAATTTTTTCCTTATAAATAGACTGGTCTACTGTCAATTTTTTAGTATATATTTTCATAAAAGTAAAACTAATAATAAATATAATAGTACAATAATACTATAATCTTAAAATTAAAAATTAAAAATTAAAAAATAATAGTACAATAATACTATAATCTTAAAATTAAAAAATATTGTTACAATAACAATGTATTAATAATCTAAAATAATTATAAAAATAAACATAGTAAAATAGGTTGCATATAATACTACTAAAATTTCTCTTATTACATGTCACTTTTCCTGCAAATTTTTATGAAAAATTCGCAGGAAATTTTCCTGCAAAATTTATTGCGAAAAAAATTTGTAGGAAAGTTTCTTGCAAAAAACAATTGCAGGAAAGTTTCTTTTCCTGCGAGTTTTTCCGCAAGAAATACTACAGGAATGTTTTTTTTATAAATTCTATCAATAATTCTTCAACTTTCCATCCGAAACATTTGTTTCCATGCCTCCAACATGTGATACGTAATCTTTTAAATTCTAAGATTGTAGATTATAAGCCTAACACTCAACCATACAAATCAACTTGTAAGGTAAGTGTTGTCCCAACTTATACACTCTTTAATTGTTTTATTTTCAATCGATGTGAGACTTAAATTTTTTTAAAAATATTAAATTTATAAATTAATTTTTTTTAATTTTTCCTATGAATTAAAACTTGCAGGAAAATCCGCAGGAAAAGTTACCTGCAAAATTTTTCTATCATTTAGTAAACATTACTTGCAAATTTATTTTTGCAAGAAAATCTGCAAGAAACAAAATAAAATTCTTACAATATTTTCTACAAATTTTTACTATGGAAAAAAATTTATAAGATCATTAAAATTGTAGCAAAATTTGTAAGAAATATCTGTAAATTATTTTTCACAAATAAATGCGCAAAAAATTTATGCGAATATTTTTTTACAGGAAAATTCGTAAAAGAATTCTACGAATATCTTTTTGCAGAAAAAATTGCAAAAAATTTTTGTGAAATTTTTTTGCAGGAAAATGACATTTTTCTAGTAGTGTAATGATGATTTGTTACTATAATAATAAAATAATAAATTTGTATTATAAAAATAATTAAAATATATAGTCTCGTACATGTATGACTATCAAATCTAGTTATTGCTCTCTCTCTATATATTATTTAATTAAAATCTAAGAAACTGAAATAATTTTAAAATTTATAATTCTGATTAATATTTAAAAAATTTAAAACATAAATAATTATTTAATAACTTCAGCTGTAAAATTTTTTTTATTTATAAATTCAAGAGGAGGAAAACAACATTTGAATTAAAAAAAACGAAAATGAAAGTTAATACAAGTTATTAAAAAAGTAACGAAGACTTACGCGTAATATTAATAACAAATAAATGTCAATATTAAATGGCGTAACTTTACATGTTTCTACGCATTAAAGCATCTTTAATAATTGTTTTTCCAAGTAATTTATTAAGATTTTTATTTTATTTTAAATGAGACAACATTATTTTTAAGCAATTTATATTACATTTTTTTATAAATTTTATTTTAATGGTGAGATTTTATAAGAGCATCTCCAGTGGGAGTTGCTTATAAGCAATTCCTGTACCACATCACTGTAACATCAGCTCTGACCTACTTTATGGGTTGCTTAAATTTTAGCAGAGTTGCATAAAGTGAGTCAGAGCTGATGTGACACAGAAATTGCTTATAAGTAACTCCCATTGCAGATGCTCTAAGTAATCTATATTTTTTATAATTATTTTTATTTAAACTTTGTTTTTTGATAACTTAAAAATTAATGTAATTATTATAATTAAATATTAACTTAATTAACTATAATAAATAATATTTTAACATATAAAAAAATTAATAGTAACATTTACACAATTAATTTAATGTGTATAAAAATATTAAAAGTAACGAAATTACATAACCATGAAAAATATATAACAATGATGGATAATTAGTTTTTGATTTGTGGGTATGGATAATTAGTTTTTGATTTGTGGGTGATGAAAGGTTGATGATTTATACTTTTTATCTTTATTTTTGAGAGTTGTTTGAATTTTCGGTTGTTCGTTGATAAAATTAATACTAAAAAATATTATTATTTTTAATTCATAAACAATATTGTTTATTTGAGAATCGCTTCTTATTTTAAAATAATTTTTTGTATATGATTTGTTAATAAGTAATGTTGCTTATTGATAAGATACACTATAACTACTCTCTATTGAAGATGTTATTGCTAGACAAGTAAAAAAGGCATTGAAGCATTTTATACTTTTTTTTCTCCCCATTTTATTTGACATTTTGACAATTCATTTATTTTAATTTGATTTTCGTTTTATAATATTAATATAACAATACACATTTTTTTTATTATACTATTAATCGTTATTAATATATTCTTTAACTAATATGTTACTCTCTTTTTTTCAATAGTTGTTTTATTGGTCAGAATCCCAAAGGATTAACAATATATTAATAAGTTACATGATTTTTTAAATAGATAGTATATTTCTAAGTCTTTGTGCCAAAACCTTAAGGGAGTATTTGGTAGTAGATAATTATTTTCTTTAAGAATCATAATTTTCAAAAATTATAAATTTTGAGAATCATAACTTATGGGAATAATTAAATATGTTTGATTATTCATTCCTGAAAATATTCATATAGAATTTTTGAGAATTAAAAATTTTAATGTTTTATCACAATAGTATATTCATGGACATATAAATACTTTTTACAAAAATATTCTTTATTAAAAATAAAATCATTATATATATATATATATATATATATATATATATATATTTACTCTTATCACAAGCATGACATTAAACTATTTTTCAAAATATATATATTTACTCTTATCACAAGCATGACATTAAACTATTTTTCAAAATATATATATTTACTCTTATCACAAGCATGACATTAAACTATTTTTCAAAAATTAAAAATTTATAGTTAAAATTATTTAAATACATAATTTAGTAAAATAAATAAAGAAAATAGTTACATAATAATTAAGAAAGATAAAAATATATTATTTTATTTCATTCAAATAAATAAATATTAACAAATATCTTTAAATTATAAAAACAAAAGAAATTTTGATAATATTATTAAAATTAACAAAATCAATAAATAATAAAATATAAAAAAGAGAGAAATAGAGATGTGAAAGGGAGAGATATGACAAATAATCATCATTTTATACATTACATATAATAGATGATATTTCTTTTATCAAAACATGACACCAATGGAGATAACTTTAATACAATTAAAGTTGTAAGAAAAATTAGTTTATGACAAAATCGATAAATACTTTGTCAATATCATGGTAACAAAAAAAAATATACATTATAACACTGGGTATAAAACATGTGCTAAAAAAATTATTCTAACTTTTTTTTGCATTTAAGACAAGACCAATTGTAATCAAATTGTTAGCAAGAATTAGGAATGACAAAAATTCATACACATAAATACTCATGGATACCTGGTAGATAATTAAATGAATATCCGCTAATAATGAGATAAGGATGAAAAATAAAATACTGTGTCCACATGTATCCGCACTTAAAAAATATAAATATTTTTAATTATATATTTAGTAATTTAATTTAATTTATTTTTATACTAAATATGTCTCATAATTACCTTTTTTTTCCAGTACAAATATGTTACAATTTTTTCAATATAAATATATATTTTAAAATTATTTATTTTTAATTCAATTTTATTTCTTATCTATTTAGTTAAAATTTTACATATGATCAAGTATCCATAAAATATATGTAGATACTCATACATATATAAAAAATTCATAAATATCTTCATTAAATAGAATGAATGACAGAAAACAACCACCTACCACTGTCCCGTCGCTATCCCTAGTAAAAACTTTAACCATCGTATCAATTTTTACAACTTTACCGAATAACAAATATCACAACAATATATACACACTTGTGCATCATAGTTTTGGCACATGCCTCCATCTTTTCATAAATGCAAGAAAATATACGCATTTTTAGAAATTTTGCATTTGATCATTTTTCTGTTTGATGGTGGGAAGCAGTTACATACACCTTGTAGAAAGCTAACTCATTCAGAAAAATGGTTAGCAAAATGAACCTAGTATACTATCTAGTATATTTAGTTTGTTAAGAATTCCAAGTTTTCCTTTAGAATGTCGAAGTAATGAATTTTGATGAACCAAAAAAATTTTAGATAGTTAAAATTGTTCTCACAAATTTTCACCTGCACGTTCCAGGACTGTTCTAAGTTCATCTGCTATCTCACGAAGGAGGATAGGTTTTCTAATCAATCCATTCATTCCCACCTGTAGACATCTCTCCTTTATGTGTTCTTCGGCACTTGCGGTAAAAGCTATGATCAAGGGCCAATTATGGCTTTGGAATTTCCGAATCCTTCTTGCAACTTCAAAACCATCCATTTCAGGCATGTGAAGATCTAACAGAATAATTCTGAATGAGTTACCTGAGGCAGTCATAGCACCAAGACATTCGAATCCTGATGAAACAGCAGTTACTTGACATCCAAGTTTCTCAAGCAGCTTCTTGGTCACAGTCCTGTTTACATCATCATCATCGGCTAATACAACCTTAAGCCCTCTAAACTGGGAATTTGAAAATTCTTTAGGTACAAGAATGAATCTTCCCTGAGATGATCCTGTCTGAAACCTGAGAAGAAGTGTCACTCCTTGTGCCAAACCCAGAGAGTTAGTTGATATCCAAATATTACCTTGCATCATCTGCATATTATTCCATTTTAACAGTCAGAATTACAAAAAAAAATACACCATGGTAAACTAAACATATTTCAGTTGGTTTATCACTGAAGGCTTCTCAACCAACCCACAATCAGCAAATAGGCAAGGACAAAACCAAATTTGGTTTTAGGCCGAAGTGTTCAAAATATACAGAACAAAAATGCAAGAACCGATTTACTGTTTTGTATTCAATGTTTATTGTTCACCTAATACAACAGAACAAAAGCGAGAAACTTGAGAGTCTATTTCATGTTGAAATCCTAGAACTAACTGATCTTACAGTTGAAAAAAGTAGACTACACTCTTAGTATTTCAATCTTGATTTTCTCCCTGATGTTTGAATCCATATTTTTAACTAACTAGGTTAAGATCTCAAAAGAGGATAATATATCATATACATGGGATAAACAAGACAGAATCCTTTAGTTATAGAGCAAAATTCCAACAGTAAAATGTTGCTAGACCTGAAGGACACCATGACTGACATTAACAATGACAAAGAATATATATATTTTTATTACTGAAAGGAAAATGACTGGTGTTAACATACATGAGAAAAATTACAGGTCATGACAAAAAAAGGCTGTCTCCTTGGCTGAAACATGCAAGGAGAGAAACATGTGCAAAATTGAATGTCACTTTCACGGTCACATACTAGAGATCAGTGATTTTGGACTAACAGAATGGCAAAGTCAGTACTATGATTTTAATTGAATGGCAATGTCTGTCACATTAAACTTTAAGATTTTCTACCATACAAAATCCTTATATTTTAATGAAAAACATTAAATGTGAAGGAGACGTCAATGCATACAATCCAATTTGGAACAGAATGTCTCCTTTGAGCATTTTAAAAGGACACTGCTATTCAGCATCATATGAGTCCATATTGCAAAACAAACACCAAACTAACCATACTATATGTGGTTTTCAAATGTCAAGTAGATGACCAAAAAGATTAACAAGACACCTGAGTGAATCTACTGACAGATTCATTATTACTTTCTCAACATCATTAACAATTCCCAATGCATCATAGGGGTCAATCCAATAATCATCTTCTACGCATAAAATGTAATGCAAAGGTTTACAGCCAACACAATCCATACAATTAATCAAGCAGCACATAATTTCTCAAGATGGTGCTTTTAAATAAACAGTTAAAACATAAACTTGGGAATAATCCATATAACTACAATCACTAACAAAATTGATACATAAATTTTCAAAAGAGAATGATACACCTACCTGCACCAGCGTTTTGCACATGCTGAAGCTCAGGCCTTCCTCAGGTTCATTTTTGCAGCTTCTACCAGTGTAAATTCTTGTTGAAACTGATTCATCTGACTGGGAACTAATACCATTTATCTGAAAATTAAACTTTATATTTATGTAGTCATTTTGCATGCTTGATCTCCATATTCCAAAATTTCTATCATCTTTATCTCCACCATCACTTTCAACATAAACTTGAAAAATGAGAGTTCCTTTATCATATACGCTCAATAAATAGCCAATCATATGTAAAATTACTTGGAAAGACCTTGCCTCATCACCTATGACCAGATTAGGCAAAGACTTGTCAACATCAACTTCAAGACCAAAGCCTTTATATATACACAAACACTTGGCAGTGCAAGACGCCTCCCTCATCATTGAATGTAGATGGAAAGGTTTCATCTCTAGCTGGAAGCTTCCATTGTCTTTCGCAGCAATCTCCATGACATCATTAATCAATCGTGAGAGTGCATTGCTTACTTTCAAAATTGAGTCGATAACAATCTTATGTTCATATCTTATATTATCCTCTTGAAACATTGAAAGCAAACCCAGGATTGAATGCATAGGTCTCCGCATTCCATGACTCATGACTTTCTCAAACGAGCTCCTCGCCTTCCTGGCCATCATTGCATTCTTTTGAGCCAGTTGCAACGCCTGGTTTTGCTCTGCAAGTTTCTGGCTTATAAGCTGAGACTCTTCAAGCACAGATGCATGAGACAAGGCTACAGCCACCTGGTCAGCAACCACTTCCACTATCTCCATTTCATGGCAGGTCCAAGCCCTGGAGTTTGAATTTGGAAGAACCAAAACCAGCACACCGTAAGATGTTTCAACCATCTCTGGTGTCCCTCCTTTGAAATTGGAAACATGAAGTATTGGCATGCGAATGGCTGCAATGGCACCCGAATCCCCAGATCCACCACCACTACTTGCTGCTCCTAGTGCTGAATCAGGCCTCAAAATCCAAACCCCTTTGCTCTTTTTAATGTCCAACACATCAGGGTCACCAACAGGAATAGAATTGCGAAAACTCCTTGCTGAGCTTGGTTTCAACTCATGAGTCAAATGCATTTCTCTCCTGCAATCATCAGGCATCCAAACTGCACAATTGTGCAAATCTAATGCCTTGGAAAGCTCAACAAGGGTCGTGTACAAGATTGTGTGCTTATCCAGCGACTTCCTAATTTCACATGTGAGCATCCTAACATGCCAACTAGCTTCCTTCTGTTTCTTCATCATCCCAACCTCTTGCCCCAATTCCAAGACATTCTTCCTCAAGAATAACTCCCTCACTTTGATTTTCAGCAGAAGAGGAATGAGGGTGGGAAAGGTAATGGCAGTGGCACATGAGACAAGTGCAGTGAGGAACTTAGCAACAGTGAGGGAAAGAAACAACTGGAAGGAGTGAGGGCCATAGTAAGTATAAGCATTGAGTAAATGAGTCAGTCCACAGAGAACTATGAATGCAATGAATTGAAGGAAGACCAATTTGAAGGGGACATTGGAGCAGCTCACAAAGTAAAGAAGCTCAATGGGAATGGAAAAGTATGCTATGGCAATGAAAAAGTCACTCACTTTCTGGCACACCAGCACGTTCTGTGTGCTCCAAAGCCCTAACCCTTCCTCATCACAGTTGCACTGTGAATATTCCACATCGATGGCACACACAGAAATCACCGTAACCAAAAGGAACAACATAAGAAACAACCCTCTTTCCATGGCAACAACTTTTTCCTTTTCTAAATCACCCCCCTAAGTTAATAGCTCAAATTAACATTACAATTGCCACATACATATATATGCACATTATAATGCCAATTTAAATAAATTCAAATGATTAAACAAATAAATAATTGATATAGTTAACTAATTGGATACAACAGTAGAAGCTGACACCAGTAACAATTTGGGGGCAGAGACCAAGAAGATAAGAATCACGCTTTAGGTGAACGATACGGTGCCAAAGTCCAATGACTTAGGAAGAAATTTTAATCTAAAGTTTGAACTTTGAAGAGAGACTTGATTGGTCTTGAAAGCATAGTGGGACCCACAGAGCTTGACATGAACCGAACCAAGACTCCCTTGCTCTGCTCACACACCTTTACATGTAATAATAAATGTCTTTACCATTTCCATCGAGGCATCAACCATTAAATTAATTATAACATAAGATTTGAAAGATTACATAATATCACTTTTAATAATAGTTAAGCAGGTATTCTTGTTCCTCTTCAACCACAAACTGTCAACCATTTTTTTAAAATTAAGTGCGATACATCGCATAAAGGGAGCTAGTAGAGTATTGTCATTTCGTGTACTCTAACTTAGGATACCAATTGACAATTGATTAAAAATTAAAAGGTGTAAATACGTTTTTAGTATAAAAATGCTGGATCGCCGAATGAATGCTTCGAAACTTGTTTTGGATTATTAAAAAACTGATTTAAATAATAAAATATTAAATTAAATAATTATTTTATAATAAATTTATTAAAAGATATTAATATTTTAATCATTCCTTGAATCATATAACAATCCTCTTTTTAGTATGTTAAATTTAGGATAATTTTAATTTTAATTCTTTAAATTTGAAATTAAATTTTTTAATCTATATAATTTTAAAAAATATTAATTTAACTTTTATGTTCAAATTTTGTTTGTGGATTTAATAAATATTATTGTACAAAATTCATTTACTAATGTCTTTATTAATGAAAATATTTCATTAAATTTAATTGATGTTATATAACAACTTTAATTTGTTATGGGTAACTTAGAGCAACTCCAATGGGAGTTGCTTGTCCCATGAAGCAACTCAAGTCCGGGTTTCTTATTATTAGAGGACTCTGACGTGGCAACATGAGTTGTTTGAAGAAGAGAGAGAGTTGTTTCCTCAAGCAACCGTTCCTTACCAGATTTCAAGCAAATCTTATTGAACATATTTGAGAACGTTTCGGAAATAATAATGATGAAAATTAATTTCGTATAATGTCTATGTATTTATTATTATTTTATTTTATTTTTAATATCTACTTATTATGTATTTTTTCTCATAATTTATTTTCTTTCATTGTAGTGCAATTACCCTTTTTAATAAAAATTTAAAATTAATTCATAAATGATTAGAAAAAAATTCTAAAAGTTGAATTTCTTAAAGTTTCTTACCATTGGAATAAATTTGTGTTTGAGTTGCTTAATACTGACATGACACTTGGGACCACTTTTTTCATTTTTCAATACATGAAGCAACTCAAATGAGTTGCTTCCATTGGAGATGTCCTTAAGAAAATAAAATAAGATTTTTTGAAACTATAATAATTATAAAAAAAAAATTCAAAATTTGATGGAATAAAATCAAACTTATCTTAAATTTGAATAATTAAAAACATATCTAAATCAAGTTAAAATATAAAATCATTCTAGTTTAATACACGAATACGATATACCAACCCTTTTATAATATATTTGAAATAATTGCGAAAATTAAATTATTTCAACCATCTATTATATGAATAATAAGTTTTATTTTGTTAAGTTTTCTAAAAAAATGATTTTAAGATGTTTAATTTCATTTACATGCAATAAAAAAAAACCAGTTTTATGAAATAAATTGATTTCAAAAAAAAAAGTTGTTGAAAAACAATAGTTTTAAAATTTTAAATTCTAAAGCAACTTATTATTTAGGAAAAAAAAGTTTACATATATAAGCTGATATAACAAACAACTAGCTTACTTCACAAACAAATTCTTCTTTTTAAAAAATTTTTTTTTTTAAGAAAAGTTGAATCTTGTTAAATATTTTTTTAAGGGTGTTTAATTTGATGAATCAGATAATCTGAACTGAACTAGTTAAATTGGTTTAGATTTGTTATTTTGGATCCAACTCAAACCAAACTGATTAAATTTGATATTAATTAATTTAGGTGTTAGATTTAGACATTTAAAATCTAAAATAACTTGAGAAAAATCAATTAATTTATATATTTTTATTTTTATTTTTAATTTGACTAACAATTAATATGTATGTATCATTTTGATTATTTTGAAGATGTTTTTATGTTACAAGATGTATATTTTTTCATTCCTTTTTCAAAAAATTATAAAAACCAGGAAAAATCATTTTACAATATATTAAGGGGGGTGTATTGGTTTAGGATTTCGTAGAATTTTAAAAAACTGGTAATTAGGATGTGAAATAAAAATCTAAATGGTAAGGGTAAGGTAAAAGAGTGCGTTTGCCGGGAGTCGAACCCGGGTCTATTGCTTGGAAGGCAATTATCCTAACCGTTGGACTACAAACGCCTGCTGATGGCAAGGGAAACCGGCTTGTAAAGTGAAGGTTGTTTTTCACTTATATACTATTTAATTGCCTAATCTCTAGTCGATGTGGGACTTGAGTTTTTCCCAATATGTTGACATATATTACCAAGAGTGCATCATCAACAAATGAAGTATAATAGATGCGTGGTTGGTTGTGTTGTGAGGCCAAACTCATACAGGATGACAGTTAAGGGACCTCCATCTAGTGAGGAAAAGATGCATTGGCAATGTCTAATTAAAAGATTAAACTTTAAGTTTGACAAGAAATGCAAAGACAATTTAGTCTTTGCATTGTGTTACTAATAAGATTGAAATTTAGTTGTATGATGCTCATGAAATTTCTTGAAACAGTTTCATATCTATGTTAGATTATAAATAATTTCTACCAAACATTGGAGATTCTATCAAACTGGTACGTGAAATTATGGAGAATATATACCAGCTAGCCAGTTTGCATGAACTTAAGAGTCTCAGAATTAAAGGACGAGTTTTTTTTAGTGCTTTTGTGGCATAAGTTTGGCGAAGTTACTGATGATTCTGTGTCTGCAGGATGCATTGAAAGGTTCCAAACCATTGACAACGTTTGGGTCCTTTGACGATCGAAATGGACGTGGAGCTGTCCAAGTTCACACTCGCAGTAAAAGTGTGCTATCTAGTTTCTTTATCATGCAAAAGGCAACTAAGTTGGTGAATGCCGGTTCTGTCTTATGATACCTCTCAAGGCAAATGCAACCTCAGCAATGTGAGGATCGATGTCACTTTGTTTTTGATAAAAAGAGGAGTTTAAAAAACAACTTTGACATACCCAAATGCTTAATTCACTTTTCTTTGACCTTGCGTTCACTAATGAACAGAATTACATTAGTTTATATTTCTAGTTCTAATCTTTGAATAATGACAGTGTATAGTTGTAGCCGGTATCCCGTAGTGATGATGGTCTCAATCTTCTGCGCGCTACATTACTCAAGAGTCAAGATATAAACTTGTGAATCACTGAATTGTGTGATCTATAGATATCGTTGGAGAATTTTTTGCACCATATATACTTGTTGTATTGATACTGTGAAAAAGGTTTGACTTTGTTGTCTTGTGATGCTCCGTAAAATTTTCCAAAATCAATGCCATTTTTATTTGTTCACTTTGTTAGTAATTATTAGTTGATCATCCATAAAAGCGCTTAACTCTGCATGGTAATTAGGATGTGAAATAAAAATCTAAATGGTAAGGGTAAGGTAAAAGAGTGCGTTTGCCGGGAGTCGAACCCGGGTCTATTGCTTGGAAGGCAATTATCCTAACCGTTGGACTACAAACGCCTGCTGATGGCAAGGGATATGTATTTATATTGAGATAATAAAAATATACATAGTAAGGTAAAATTATTGCGTTTGCCGGGAGTCGAACCCGGGTCTATTGCTTGGAAGGCAATTATCCTAACCGTTGGACTACAAACGCTAGTCGAAAAGACGCTAATGTTTGGAGGACTAGTATAACTATGGACATGTGGGTGAATGCTATTTAAGAGGATGAAATATTATGAAGAATTATTATTATTATTATTTATCTAGACATTATTTTTTTATTATTTTTGTCTTTAACTCTTTTTAAATTTGAATGTATGAAATTATTTTTGAAATCTTATCAAATGTCAAAAATCCATAAAAATTCTACAAAATCCCACAAAATCCATTAAAATCCTGATTTAAAAGTCTTGCAGAATCCATTAAAATCCTGATTTTAAGTCTTGTAGAATTCTACAAAATCTTAAAAGTCATGAAAATCCTGCAAAGTCTTTTAAAATCCGCAGGATTTTTTTTAACTAAAAAAGTCATTTAAAATCCTAATCCAATACACCCCCTAAGTGTCATTTTCACATATTGTAGTGCATTTGAAATTCTTTAGTAGATTAAGAAAATAAATCAAGAAAAACATATTGGAAATCTACTAATTTAATTAATTTTTGTCAATATATCAATTTAGTTAATGTTAAAAAATCTATTTACTTTAAAAAAATATTTTTTTTTAATTTAATATTATATTATTTTAAAATTAATTGAATATTTGATGACCCAAACTGAATCAACTCAATCAATATCAAATTAATTCGATTTAAAAAATTTATAAAATTTAAACCAATACAAATCAATTAAATTTAATTGGTTTGAATTTGATTTTCATCCAAATTTAAACCATAAACACCCCAATTTTTTTTTTCCAAACACACTCTTAATCATAAATACAATTAAGCAAACCATGAATTGGGTTGTTCATACTTAATTTTAACTTGTCTCTAAATTTTAATTGAATTAACTTTTTTATTATATTACGTCTCTAAATTTTATCGAATCCGATAATTTACAAGTTAAATTAGGATTAAAGATATTGATTGAACTAAAATATAGATAATATAAGTCTTTATTTCCCATTAATGTGATTAAGATTTTAAAAAATTTATTTCATCATTATAATTTATACATGAGAATATCATATAAATTAAACGATTACTTATAAATTACGGACAAAACCTAACGTGTTTACATCAACGTAAAAAATATAGACAAAAAAGGTGAAAAGTGCTATAATTATGTAATAATTAATTTTAGTATGAAGTATTTTTATTTATTTATTTATATATTTTATTATTAACAAAATAATTTATGAAGCTATATTAATTTTACATAATTTACAAATTATAATTTCAAATCTACCTCTATATTATAAATTAGAATATAATTTTTTAAAAAACTTTTTTTTTCAAAAAAAATAACTACAATTAACTAAAAATTTACCTATACACCATATCAAATTATTATTTTTATCTGTAAACTTAATCTTTTTGATCGTTTATCTTTTTAATTTACTTTATTTTATTTTTATTTTTGAAATTAATTTTTAATAATTTTTGAAAGAAACTGTCGATATTTAAAATAATTTTATATCATAATTTAAATTATTTATTATAAATTAAAACTAAAATTTAATATTTAAAATAATTATTTAGTATAAATTTAAATTTTAAATTATATAATCATAAATATTTATTTTGGATAACATGCAAACTAAAATATAGTTTAATTTATATTTATTTATAAATACATAAAATAATACTTAGTCTCGTATTAAACTATATACCATAAAAAACAAAAATATCCACACAAAAAAAGTCTCGTATTAAACAAATATCTTCTTCGACCCAAAATATCTTTTGCAATATTTTGTATTTGTCGAAGGATAACGAAGAAAAGGACGTGAATAACAATATTTTATTTTTGTAAAGTGTTAGTGACGCACATAAATGGCACTATCGTGCATTATGACCCATCCATTCCTCACTCAAAAAATCTTGCTTCCAACCAACTTGTTAAATTATTAACCAGCTTAAATACACCACAAAAGAATAATGTTATTTGTATTAGGATACAAATAAGTCTTACATTGATAAAATAAGATAACAAATAATAATTTATATATCACAAATATACTTTAATGATTGAGAGGCCTTTTAGGTGATGATCAAAAACAAAACCGTGAGAGCTTAATTCAAAAGTAGGCAATATCTCATTATTGTGGAGTATACTTATTTAATAACTTTATAAAAATAATCCTCGTAACCCTCATGTCCCTTATTTGAGGGAAAGAATGTTGGGATACAAACAAGTCCCACATCGATAAAATAAGACAACAAATAACAACTTATATAGCACAAACATACTTCAATGATCGAAAAACCTTTTGGATGATGACCAAAAGCAAAATTGTGAAGGCTTAATATCTCATCATTGTAGAGTATGTTTGTGTAATAACTCTCATAAAATATCCCAGAGAAATACCATAAAATAATCCCATCAATTTGCACACATACATGTTAATACATATTTATGTTTTGTTTTGATTAATATTTTTTTCTTCAAATAAATGAAAAAAAATCAATATTTTTTCCTACCTTCCTCTTCTTTCTATTTTATTTCAATCAAATAAATAAGAAAAAAATAAAAACTATAATTATAATAGATAATATGATCTAATAAGTAGAAGTAGATTAAAAAAATTAGAAATGTCAAATAAATGTTTATATCATTGAGTTGTAATTATATCATCGTTGACGAGAAAATAGTATGTAATATCAATGTACAGGATATTATATTGTTATTTATAAAAAAATTATTAATTTTTATAATAATTATCTTGAAAAATATTAATTATTATTTGTAATTAATTAGTTGTCCGTCAGTCTACTTCACAATACAAAATTTAAACTCTAGATATATTTCTAGGCCTAAGTATATGTTTGATATACATAATTTGATTTAATCTTTATATTTTAAAAGTTAATTTTCAATCATACAATTTCACTTTTTTTTTATACTAAATTATATATTATATATTTTATCTTCATTTTAATTTTTTATGTTTTAAATTTAGATTAGTTTGGCGTTTCCAAAATAATGACTATTTTTAATTTTTTGGACATGATTTTCAATCATTTGAAAAGAAAATAATTATAAACAAAAGTGTATACGAGGATGATGACAAAATGATGAAATATATGATAACCTCGTAACTATATCTGGATCAATGGTTAACTTTGTTTACTTTTATCTGGGTATTTGATATACTAATTAAGCATATCCAAGAGTTGATGACTCGTGCATTTTTTTAGTAAATGACAATGCTAGAGAGTCAAGAGGAAGATAAATGAAATGTTAAAGATGTGAAACAAATTATAAAGGCTAATGTATTCTACTCAAACATAACTAAAAAGGGATATATAGATTGAAAATTTAGTTAGACATTTTACAATTTTTTTTAATTTCTTTTAACAAGAGGTATATTTGACTCTCCATCAAAACTGATAACAAAATTTAATAATCATATGACAAAAATACTATAGAAAAAGTTAATAAAAATAAATATTGTTTTCATATAAATAGCTTTATCCAAGCTTTTTTACTTGTATTTGAGCCGTCAATACGAGCCTCATTATTTTAGTTCAATGTCGTTTCCTTTCATATATATTATATACCTTATCAGCTTAACGGCCAACTTCTATCACTTGGCTACCAGAAAGTGAACAGAATTAAAAAAAAAAAAAAAAAGAGACTCGTTACCTTTCAAATAGGCTTATTGAATGAAGAACCATAATAATATATGCTTGACAGAATTTTGAACAATTTGAAGACTGCACTTTGAAAATGGAAGGAAATATAGTCCACAATAGATTAGCTAATCTAGGAAGCATATATCTATGATATTTATCCCGGTATAGAGAAACTAACAGACCAGCAAAAATGAAGTAAGCAACCCTGATTTATAAATACAACATGAGTAAATGAGGCAGAACAATATTTTCAAGGACAAGCATGAGTATTAATTTTCAGAAGCCACGATCCTTAATGAATGGTGCATACTATAAACGGCATCACGTGACAAAGACTGCTGGTATGTAGAGATATCATACATCGATTGTTGCTATCATATCCATAACCTGTCTTCATTTTTCAATCAGGAATTTGTTCATAACCCCCATTCTCAGGAGACTGGTGTGCCCCATGACCTGTCCTTCCTGCAGACAGGAAATCTTGCTTCAGTCACAGTATTCCCTCTCTTGCCCCATAATCTTAGAAGGGGTGGCTAAGTCCATACCTGTCAGCTCAAAACCAGTATTTCTTGAATCCGGATGGCCCCAGTCTGTGGACCGGGGAGGTGTCCCATGCAAACCAAGCTGTTGAATCATGAAATGAGTTCCCCCCATAGCTTGATGCTCATCATTACCACGGATTGGATTTCCACCGGAAGAGTCAACCGTTTGGCGGAAGCCTAAACTTGATACTGGTTCGCTAACTGGAGATGGCAACTTGCTGGCAGAGGCATCACCTTTTACACCAGCACTAGTATCCTTCTTGTTGTCAATAAAAAATGTTCCAACGATGACCTGTGTAGATTAACATTTCATCAAAAGTGACTTCAAGCTGTAAATCATATCAGGCAGGGCTTGGTATGAGTGGAAACAGGAAGGCGTAAAATAAATTAGTGAAACTTGACAGATGACACTATATGTGGATAAAAAACAAGTCTACATGTATGCCTGATTTTATTCCAATGTTTTTTCCCTCTCCTTTTTACTCTTACCAAGTACAATCCTAGACAACCACCTCATCTCCCTCTTCTTTCCTTAGTAGGAAAATTTTATGTATGAAATGTAAGATCACATTTATGTCAATAATCATAAATCATGTTCAATGACATTATTTATATCTAAATCCTTCTTACTGGTTTGACCTACAATTTTTCAAGGCATAAATGGAATACTGATCAAGACCAAGAAAAATAGATGTAGTCACAGCTCATATCTTCCATCTACAAGTTCATTCATAGTTCTTTTTTGAATTTACCTGAACTGGACCAGCTGCTTTAAGTGGCCCACCAACTCCACCACCTATGATTTGTCCATCAGTATTAGATAGGCATACACTGAGACCACCAGTTCGAGTTCCAAGTTCATTACGGACATAAGAACCAGTTAGTGAAATAATCTCAAACCGACCCTGATGTCAAAGCAAGAAAGAGTTAAACTGTGATAACTGCAATATGAGTACATGATTATTGAATATGAAATAAAATTCATTTGATTAAAAAACCAAGCAATAAAAATTAACAATTATTATTTTTGGTGAATAGCCATGTGTTCATTAAGTTGTCGACTATGACTAACTTAATAATTAATTCAGTGACAGCTCAGGAAAATGGTATTACGAGTTTACTGCTGCTTGGCACTAACTTTAACTGAGCAGTCACAATCTAATAGAGACAAATTTTTGTAAAGGTTCCTCTTGGTGTATGAGCTCTTGAAGATAACTGAAGAAAGAAGATCAATTTTCCTGTAAGAAGAGGGTGCAATTGTCTACGGAAAATAAAACCGTTCCAACTTTGACCATCAGAAAATTTGTCCATAGAAGTTGGGTTTATACAAACTAGTCATAACCATAAGCGCACGTGTATGAGAGAAAATAGGGTGAGAGAAAAACAAAAAATATGGAGAGAAAATTATGGTTATTAAATAATATTTTTTTAATTAATATTTCTAAATGCAAACTTGGAAATTTTAATCACCTTGTTTGATGGCAAGAGAGAAAAATAAAAACTTAAGGGGTGAATTATATTTTCTCCCCCAAGTAAATGCTAAACTTACACTTCCTTTCTCTCCAATTTTAAAAAGTACACTCTGCACTTCAGATATATGTTACACTCAGTCCAATTACAGTAAATGATTTAAACAATAATGAATAAGCCTTCTACTAGGGACGGAAATGGGTAAGACTTCAGTAAGGCATTGTATCCATTCCTATAACCACGTTTAGAACAAATACCAATCTCCAAACCGACCCTACAGTAGCTACATGCTTATAACTTAACATCCTCACCCATCACCCGCATTCTAATTAAATAAAATATGCTCCTTTAATGAACTTCCTTTCCAAAAAACTAGTAAAACAAAGAGTAGAAGTAGATGATATGAAGCCACAAAGACTCTAGACAACAGAGTTACAACAAAAGCACTTAAGGTTTTGAGATGAGAAGTATATGATGTTAGACTTTTAGACTTTAATCCGTTATAATTTGTTTTATTGAATAAGTAATTAAGTATAATATTCCTAATTTTATATTTTATATATTAAATGATATATGTGGGGATGGGATGGGGTGAGTATTAAAGTACCCATACTGGCATACCCACTCCTATTCCTAAAATTTTTTGCTAGTATTTATTAACTGGTCCCAAACACATAAATTTTTGCAAGGATTTGTCATCTCTCCCAAGAACAACTTTTCCTCTCTGCAACTTTTAGTTTCTGGATACTAATTTTCAACATCTACTTATTGGTTTTACGCTTTTAAGAACAATATAATGATTTCAATATCTTACTACTGGCTTTAGAGCTTCACCCAAAATCTCTATCTACTCCCTCAGTTTCAAAACTTTAGTTCTTTTAGCTTTTTAGTTTTGTTTCAAAATTCTGGTTCTTTTAGGATTCCAGTATATCTTCATGTAACTTTTCCCAATTATACCCTTACATGTAGTTGAGTAATTAAGATTAGTTTAATAAAAACATTCATGTTACTACTTTTGAATGGAGACGTAATAAATATGGGTAATTTAGTCTAAATGCATATAAATTAAATGTTTCTTAATTTGTGTCTTAAAAACTTAAAGAACCAAAGTTTTGAAACCGATATAGTATTTTTATCTTTTGATAGTAAAAGTTCAAAACTAGTTACCATTACCAATAATGTCTGGTGTCTGAGAGAAATTATCTTTAAGAGGCTCATTAAAATGAAGTAAACTAAAGTATAACTCACATTAATCTCTTTAGGGAGGAGAGTGTAACTTACCCTAAATAAACAATAAAACCCAAAATAAATAAACAAGATTTTGACCCTTGCTTATCTTAATACTCAAGATTTTGAGCAAAAGTTGCAAGTTTCAACAGTTCCATTTCCTTTGAAAGAATTTTTGAAGAATAGGGAATAGAATATAACATAAAGATATGATATAAAACAGTGACTTATATTTTACCTCGTAGGTAATGTTGCCTCCTGAGGTTGCTGGCTGGCGAAGAGAGGCATTAGAGATGGAACCAGATGCTGACAGGATACACATCTCACGCCTACTTTGTTGCATAAATAACATGATTTTCTGGCCAACATCCTATTGAGTACAGGGTTAAGCAGTTATAGAAGAAATGCATATATAAAGAAGAAAGCTGAAAAATAAAACTGGAAGAAAACATAACAAATTCAAACATCATGTCATGGATAGATGAAAATTTACAAGTTATATAAAGAAGAGTGGTGAACTACAAGGAGAAAAAGAATAACATCAGAAAATCATATTTCACTGAAATAAATTTTTATGTTGAAGATAGAGAGAAAAAAAAAAAAAAAAAAAAAAGAGAATCACAATATATCAGTCATTCACCCACAGGTTAGCTGTAGCTATTAGGCACACCCATTGTGCCTCACCTGGATCCACTATGGGAACCCTTAAGCAAGTGCAACTGGGCAAACTTGAGCAAAAGACCCAGTGTGACTATGCCGACCCCTCAAAGGCATTACTCCTGAATCACAGTAGAGCGCTCTCTCCAAACACACCATCTGATTTAAGAGACATTAGGCCTGCTTGGGTAAGATTTTCCAGAAGCACTATTAGGAGAGGAAAATATGAAGGAACAATGAAATAAACTTCTCCATTAGCTAAAATTTGCATAAGCATAAGCTAATTTGTAGAAACTCACTTCCATTAGCTTCTCCATTTTTATTTTTTTTTTACTTATGCATTAGTTTTACCTTATGGAGAAGCTTATTTCAAATTTTCTTCCTATTTTTTTCTCCTATAACTGCTTTTGGAAAAGTTTATCCAGACAGACCCATTGCCACATTATTCATCAAATCTCTGTCCATCAACTCACTTAAGTCACTTAGAACATGATCTACCAAGACATTACCATTTGACAAGACTGAAATCATCACCACAAAAAGAAAACCAAACACAACGGAGAGGGTGGAAGAGAACATAAATATAGAAATTAATTAATAATCAGTAAGAGTCAGCAGTTGAATTTTGCAATTCTAAAAATGGGCAACGAAATTAAATTAGTTGACATATATAAGCAGCTGCAGAACCCTAAAATGAAGAAACAATAAAATTAATGGAGTGGTGTAGTGTCGTGTGTAGAAGGCATACCTCACCCGCAGCAACAGAAATGACATGAGGAGTGAAGCCTTGCCCTGCATTGCCTGCATCACATTGGCAGCAGAAGCATCAAATTAAAATTGTGGCCTCTATCATGCTCATGCATGCCTTTGCTTTGTTAGTTCTTAACATCAAACGCTTCATAAAACTAACAACAAAAACTTGTATGAAACGCAATCCCTATGTGAACAATACTTTTGGAAATTAGAAGAAGCAAGCATTAAACCTCCAATTAAGAAGCAAAAGAAGAACTAATCGGTGAAATCGAGAGAGGAAAAGCGAACCTAGAGCGAAGGAATGGGATTTCTTAGAAGCGAAAGAAGAGGAATGGAAGGAGGGAGAGTGGGGCTTCTTGTCCGCGGAGAACGACTGAGAGGAGGTGGTGGAGGCTTTCTTGGCGGCGAGGGCTTGCTCCGGCGTTCCGTACTTCCTGGGGCGGCCGCGCTTCCTCTTGGCGGGCTCGAGCTGGGAGGAAACGGCGGAGGCGACGGAGTGAGGGTAGAGCATGTGGGAGGCATCGGCGTTGGGGAGGAGGCCGTTGGTGGGGGAGGCGGAGGTCTGGGGCGGAGGGGGAGGAGGGTGAGTGTGGTGGTGGTGGTGGTGGTGGTGGAAGAAGGAGGTCAGTTGGTTGTCATTAGGTTCCATGTTTGGGTGTGCGCTGTGAGGGCTCGCACTCGCACTGCAAATTAATTTTTTAGATTTTTTTAATTAATTTTATAATGGAAACAAAAACACTTTATCTTGGAAGAAAGGCTGAACCCTGTGATTTGGTGTGTGTCTCTTATTTTGACCCTTCGTTGCTTCATTTTTTGAATAATTAAATTTATTTATTTATGTGGGGAGGAGTGGGACGTGGATATTTGTATGGGTGACAGGCAAGTATTGAGTAGGAGTAGTCACAGACAGTGACACTCACTCACAACTCACAACTCACAACCTTCGCTTGGGCCTCCTATTGGATTGGGCCTTTCTTCCCCTAAGACAAACATTTCTCTTTCCTCTCCTCACGCATAGCTACCTAACCAATTTAATTACCTCTATATCATTTTAATTATTATTCTACATTGTTAAAAACATACAACTTATATGGATACAAATAAAGCATATACATGACAAGTACAGGACGGCATAAGATACAAATTCAATCTAATTTTCAACCCTCCATCAATTCTTACAATTATTCACTTAAACATTGCAATCTTTAATAATGATCAAACTTACATATGACGTAGGTAGTAGCTTCTCCAAGATCCCATCCGGGAGCCTAGTTCATTTGATGAATATTCTTTCTTCTTTATATGGACTATTTAGAAAACTCGATTTCTTTTTCTTGTAATAACCAAATTTAAAATAACCTTTATGTATAAAAGCTAAAAGTCTAGTTAAACCTATTATTCAGTAATTATAATTCAACCACAATTCCATTGCAACTTTATTAGTTGAACCAATTGAATCATTATTATAAAATGTAATAGTTTAGATTGAACATTTTATACATTACTACTAAGTTAAACTTGATTCAAATATGATTGAAATGATTTTTTTTTCTGCCGCATTAACATGTTAGCTGAGAATGGGGACAATGGTCTTATTTACTTTAATTTTGAGAAAATAGAAAGGCCATCACACACTATCCATTAAATTACATATTGTTTAAAATAATTTATACATCTTAAACAATATTAACTGCACAAGCTATTATGACAAAATAATAAAAAGTACTTTAGCAAAAATGTTATTTCTAAAAGAACTAAAGTGTAACTGCAAATTAGTTAAGCATTTAGGTAAAATGATAATAAATAAAGGTGTTGTTAAAAAATAAACTTGATTTTTAAATATTTTTCCAAATTAAAACTCTCAAAATGTCGGATGATTTGAAGTGAAAGGAACAGTAACTTCATAATTGGAAAACACCAAACACTTGTCTTACAAATTAGATAATTTGAAATTGAAGGAATATTAACTTCATAAATATAAATCAACACCAAACACCTATCTTAAATAATATTTACTAAAAAAATAAAACTTTTCCAATGGAATAATGAATATACAAAATTAGTAATTTTTGTTTCATACAAGGACCAAACAAAGTCATTCCCTCTCATGTTTTCCAACAAACTCCTCACGTTGAAGACCGGACCCACCAATATAGAATAACTTGATAAGAAATAAACATCATCTTATCGATATAGATCACAGCTTAAGAAAAAGGAAAAGGTGATTACAAGATACAACAGAACCCACCAAAGACAGGGAGCAAGAACAAAATAAAACATAACCAAGATCAACCAATAGTCACCCCCCCAAAAACAACAATAATAATCTTATCTCATTGGGTGTGGTCGGATATATGGATCATATGACACGCCATTGAATTCGTTTTGAAACCATATTCTCAAGAATATTATTCACAAGCAATAGCCACCCCCACCAAAAAAAAAAAAAAGAAAGAAGAAAAAATTAGAAAAATTGCAAATCAGGTTCAATACACCTTTAAGGACCTCCAAGAATTGCAAGTTTCGATACAGAAGCTTCAGAGCCCATCTTTAGGAGATTCATTATCAGTTGTTTCCTTGGTAGATGCCGTTACCAAGGCTTGCGAGTTTTTCATTTCTTCTAACTGTGAAGCAGTATGGTAGATAGTGTTAAAACAAAAATAAGCATCTAACTCAAGATAATCAATAGAATATTTGAATAGCAGATATGAAGGACCACCAAAATTACCAAATCCAGAAGGTTAACATTTTTATTTTTTGGGTGGGCGGGGGGATATATCGTAAATGGGTATCCCCACAAATGTAACTATGAAGCTAATCTTCAGACAGATAGCTGTGGATAGTACAACTCTGCCTAGATTGATCATTCCAAGATTTGAACCCCTGATAAAGTTCGTCTGGAATCACAATCCAATTATATGGTGATAAACCATTATTGATAGAAAGTTGACATATTTAAGAATACATCTAATGGAAGCAAGATTTTGGACAATCATTTGTGTCCATTTTAGTGGTAAGTGAGGCAACCCACACTAATCAACCAACTATATCACTTTTCTCCAATCCAGATAAATGTTAAATTGACCAGCAAGTGTGTATGTTTACAAGAGATATGTCAAGAGAGTGGGCCTTTTTAATGTGAGAGTGAGATGGACAAATAGTGATCATTAGATCTTATGAATAGTCAAGATCAAAATACAAAAATCACAACTTCTTTAGAAAGAGCATATTAGCTTTTGAGAACTTCTATAAAGATTTTTTTTTTTTCAGTAGAAAAACTTTCAAAAGTACTTATAACTTGTAGTCAAACAAACTCAACGTCATGTGACTATAAGTAACTTTTAATCTAGATTGGTCATGCATATAAGAAGGGTAACATGTGAGTGAATGAGAAGAGCTGCTAACCTTGATCATACAACACAATCAAACTGTATGGTCAAAATTAGATTTAAGTAAAACAAGCCTTGACTATCCATAGGTGGTAATATGACTAAAATTATCTTTAATCACTCCTCACGTTCTCACCAGATACAAAAAATCTATGATTTCCTATCAGGAAGAGATAATGATTGGATGGTGTCCTACTTTCTTCTCTTCTGCCAGTCCCCAACTTCTTTCCCTTCAATGCAGGTTCATAGCTCTTTTTCAATCCACACCCCCCTTTTTGTTTCGTACTTTACCTTCTAATGTCCCTAAACATAGCCAAGTTCCATAACCACAAGACATTAAGTGCATGACGGGAAAACCGTTGGCACAGACATTCCCTCCTTTCCAATTGACCAAAATAGGAAGTAACAAAACATACTCTAAGTCCATCATAATCAACATTTCAAGTCCATACTTTTGTTGCTAATCAAGGATCCCATTTTTATCACAGGCTTTAACTAGATAGCATTATGTAATTATACTTTTTAAATGTTGAAAAGTATTATGCAAAGCCACAAACATTTGAGAAAAAATAACAAACGAAAATGGGTTGGTGCCAATATTACAGGAATTGTATTGTTGAGTAAAAAAAAGGTGAAATTTTCAGCATGGTAAATAATTAAATTCCGAAAAAGGAAAAGGCACCTCTTTGCAGGTTTTGTGATGTGCTGCTAAAAGGTCATTGTATCTGATTTGCAGATCTGAGAATTCAGCCTGGAATTTATCATATTCTGCGATGGAAGGACAGCTGAGTTTCTGTTGAATGAAGCTGCGAAGGGGAAGAGAAGCGTGTGAGTCACACGTGTGGCGTCAAAGATGAAATAATGAGAAATGGAAATGAACATACTCGAGGGCAGAAGAAGGCTTGTCGTTTTGCTCGTACAAAGCAACGAGAACTTTGGTGAGAGCATCCACTGCGCCACTTGTTTCCAGATATTTTCTAAAAGCTTCCTTCTTCGCTTCTTTTTCCTACATTGTCATTCAATCATTCTGCTTTCTGCGACCTAAGATAAGGAAAAAGGGAAAGCATAGTAAAGAATTGAACCTCTTTGTATCGCATCATCATCTCCTTTGTTTTGCTTCACGCCTGCTCCAAAACCCAAATTCAATGCAATCGCCAACCCTCTTAAAAGGAAATCCTTTTCTGTCCAATAAACAACCAATTTCCTCGTTTATACACATTCTTTCTTTTTAATTACAATTTATTACAAATTATAAAATTTCGTACAAAGACAATTAGTTGAATATGTATATATATTATATATAAGTATCCAACTTGATTGACATACTTGTTCAATGATCTAGATTCCATTAGTTAATACTCATTTTTCCGTTTCAAGATGTCAAAATAACTTAAATTCCGCAGATTAACCCACTTAAATGGATTATATTGGGTGATTCAATATTTTAATTCGTACAAATCTTTAATCAAAAGGGTTTTAAATATTTTTATTTTTGAAAATAATATTCCTCGACTATCTGAATTGTCATAGTGATAATTTCCTATTGAATTTGTGTCCGCAAATACGAACTTAACAAATTCTCACTTTGCAAGTTTCACTTGGAATGTAATGAATTGTGGTGAAAGTGTTGCGACTATGAATCATTTCCTGAAGTACATATAATAAAAACTTTACAATAGTGGGAGAATATATATATATATATATATATATATATATATGAGAATGCTAATATATTTTTACCTATTTTTTAGTTATAGTATGTTAGTAACCTATACAAAAATTTTAAGATAAGAAAATCACTCATTTCTTTTAATTTAGTTAATTTGTATAAAAGATATTATAGTAATTTAATTTAATTTTTTTAAAAAATGGAATATTTTCTCACTCTTATTAAATTTATTCTCTAACTCATTTCTTTTTTTTTTCTTTTATTAATTAATTTTTTATTTGTTCAAAGAGAGGAGAGACATCATGAGAGATGAGCGAGAAAAGTTAAAGAAAGGAATTTAATAGGAAAAAGAAATGAGTTGGAGAAAGAATTTAATAGGAGAGAGAAATAACTTAGAGAATGAAGTTAATAAGAAAGAGAAAATATTTTATTTTCTTTTAAAATTAAATTAAATCATTATAATATCCTTTGTACAAATTAACCAAATAAAAAGAAATAAGTAGTTTTCTTGTCCCGGAATTTTGGTATAGTTGCTAACATACTCCAACTAAAAAATAAGTGGGAGTATATTAACATTCCCCACCTATTTTTTAATTAGAGTATGTTAAAAACATACACCAAAATTTTAGGACAAGAAAATCGCTTATTTCTTTTAATTTGGTTAATTTGTATAAAATATATTATAGTAATTTGATTTAATTAAAAAAAAATTATCTCTCTTATTAACTTCATTCTCTAATTCATTTCTTTTTTTTTATTAATTAATTTTTTATTTGTTCAAAGAGAGGGGAGACATCATAGAGATGAGAGAGAAATGAGTTAAAGAAGAAATTTAATAGGATAGAGATAAATAAGTTAGAGAAAGAATTTAATAAAAAAGGGAAATGAGTTGGAGAAGGAATTTAATAGGAGAGGGTTGGAGAAGAAATTTAATAGGAGAGAGAAATAACTTAGAGAATGAAGTTAATAAGAGAGAGAAAATATTTTATTTTCATTTAATAAAAAAAATTAATATAATATCCTTTATATAAATTAACCAAATAAAAAAAATGAGCGATTTTTTTGTCCTAAAATTTTGGTGTAGATTACTAACATATTCCAACTAAAAAATAAGTGGGAGTATATTAACATTCCCCATATATATATATATGTATATATATATATATATATATATATTTTTTTTTTTATCTTTCTATCATTAATAATATTTATTTTTATGATAAATAAAGTGATGAAGAAAGATAAATGAAAAAATAATATTATTCAAGTTATACACAGTTTTAAAAATTGATCAAACAAATTGATCGGATCAATTTGATTGAAAACCATTTTTTAACTAGTTTGGTTGATTAAAAAATCGTTTGGTAATAAACCGGTGAAAAATCGGTCTAAAATTGGTTAAAGCAGGCAAAAAATCAGTCAAATTAATTTGAACTGATTGAATTAAAAAATATTTTTTAATTTTAAATTTTAATTTAAAATATTTTTAATAAAAAATATGTTAATAAAAATTATAAATTAAAATAATTTATTTTTAATACTTGTCTTATAAATATAATTTAATCATTTATGTTAATTTGTAATTTTTAATATAATTATTTTTTTTGTAATTTACATCATGTTAATTTGATACTTTTTTTTTAAATATAAACTTGTTATTATTAATGGACATTGTTATATTTTATTAAAGTTAAAATTTAAAATATCATATTATATTTAATTTAGGTATACATTAAATGTTAAGAACCAATAAATAACATTTATTTTAATTTTTAATGTTATAAAATTATGATATTATATTTAATTAATTAATTTAATATTAATAATAGTAATAATGATTATTATTTTATTAATATTGATTTGATTACAGGTTAACCGTTAAATCTTGAACTAGTGTCTAGACCAATTGAATGATCGGTTTGGTTTTAGAAACATTGGTTATACAATTTTTGTTGTATGTGTAACATTACTTTTTCTCAATCATCATTATTGGTCGAAAAATAATGATAACTCACTTTTTCTAAGTAATCGGAAAGAGGACCGAAACATATTACTATAAGACTCTATTAAGACAAAGATGAGTTGTCAAGAACTTAAAGGAGGTAAGATGGAAAATTGGTCTCTTTATCCTTTATTATAAGCAACAAAAAATATATACTTTTGGTTCTTAAATATATGCAAATTTTAACTACTTTTACTTCATTTAATAATACTTTCTCTAAAATACTCCTTTAATGCACTACCAATTTGCACTATTTAGTTTGACATTTATAGCAAAGATAATATATAAAGAATATTATGAAATTACTAAAATTGAATGTAGATAACTAACTTTTTATTATGTGTAAAATCATTTTTTTTGCTTATAATAGATAATAGAGTGAGTATATGTGTGAAGAGAAATTTATTTATATTAACGGTAAGTCTTGGTAGACTTACTCTAATTAATAACTTATTTTTTACATCAAATTTCAACGCTCTAACCGTTAAATTAAAAGTTCTTAATACATATATCAAATCTATAAATATTCAATTTTTTTTGAAAAGTATTTAATATATTATTTTATTAATTTAAATTGATGGATAATTATAAAAATATTTTTATGTTTATTTGAATTTACATAACAAAGTATCATATGATTTTCAAATTTATAAAAAATGTGTAGACTTAATTTATACATTAAATTTTTTTAATTTAACGACTAAATTGTTAAAATTTAATTTACAATATGAAGTATTAAGTAGAGTTAGTCTATCAATACTCCTTCCTCTTTCTCTCTCTATATACAAATAATTATATCGTTCAATAATTTATACCCTATAGTAAATTTCAATGATCCAATCGTTAAGTTAAATTTTTTTAATGAGTTATTAGAAAGTGACGAAGAAATTCGAGTTATAATGATTGAGTTTTATCAAGGTGTTATTCTATTGTAGTGGGATATATATTTTAATATGAAAGACATAGCAACAAAAATAATTGATCATAAAGTCCACATCATGCGTGCGCCACGGAGATTACTCATTGGTTTCGAAAATAAATACGTAGGACAAATATCACGGTGGAAAAAAAAAATAATGCCAACAGTAGGCCTGAGCACGGGGCGGGTTCGGACGGTTTCGGGTAAAAAATATTCAGCCCAATTCAAACCGACCCAAAAAAAAATTAATCCATTTTCGACCGTATAAGTGTTTCGGATTTGTCGGGTTTGGGTTTGTCGGGTATCGGGTTCATTGGATCGGATTAGTCGGATTAAGGGATGATAGAGCCCTGTTTTCGTGTCTCTGTCTGACGAGCAAAGCAGAAACGAAGGAGCATCTTCCAATCTGGTCTAGAATCTCATACTCCTCCATTTTCACTTCAACACAACATAGAGAGAAAGGAAATAAGAAAGAGGAAGTAAATGCAAGAGCAGAAAAGGAGCGTTAGACCACCTTACCTTTCTAATGTTCTTGTTCTTATTTGAATTCATCTTTTCAACTTTCTTTTTTCAGTTTCCCTTCCCATTCTTTTCGTTTCTTCTGCCCCTCTCAAATATCCATTACCAGCATTTTATTTCATGCACCCAATTTAAATAAAAGTATAAAATATTAACGCAGGTGGGTTGAGGAATCAGATTTGCCATTATAGAATCCTAACAACTCGCAAAACACTACCTTTCATTTTCAATTATATGCAGAAGGTTTCGCGGCGTTGCGACATTAGGGTTTTAGTTTCTCGCATAAGAAATAACATACTTTTTAATTGTTATCTATCGATCGGGTATGGATACCGACAGATTTAAATATTTTAACCCGAACCCGACCAACAAAATCCATTTTAAACCGAGCTAAATAACCCGCAAAATCAGAAAATTCAAAAATAACCGACCGAACTACAAAATTGACCCTGGATAATTCCGGTTTCGGTCGGTTCGAAACGTCTTGCTCACGCCTAGCCAACAGAATAATAGTGGCACGCAGCTTCATATATTTTGAATTTACGAATTCACGACTATTATTGCATCTAGTGGTTGTCTTTCTATTGAGAATGCCTAAATCACGGTTTGATAAAAAAATCTATTGAATTTACTCTGTATGAAAAACCAAACATGAACAACGGATGAGTTTGCCATTATACAACAATGATGTGCTTTGAACCTCTTTCACTTCTGTACTCGTGTAATTCCCAAATATGTTGCCCCAAAAAGTGCACTCACCTGGGTGTCCCGAAAGAAGCAAACTATCTTTCATTTACAAAATCCAAAAGTGGTTTTTTTTTTTTGGCATAATATTAAATGGAATATCATTGATTATGAGTTAGATCCACTATGACATCCTCATCAAATTAGAAAGTCCGCGAGTATTTCCTAATTTCATACATGATCGAAGATATGGAAACAAGATCTTTGTTCAGTGCGGATCCACCGACGATCCTCTTAATGCAATCCGAGAGTCTTGTGTAATAAAGTAACAATTGAGTCAACGCAGCCCTTAAGATCTCCATGCCGCACAAGAAGTTGCTGAAAGAAGTGATAACGTCTTTATGCATCAGC